GAAGAAGGTCCAGTGCCAGGAGGGAGACTCCGTGGCCCAGGGGACCTCATTGTCACCCTGGAGGCCATGAAGATGCGAACCCTCTCTTTGCTCCATGACTGGACGAGTGAGTGGAGAGACTAAGTTTTAGAATAGAACAGTATAGGCACAGTGAAAGAATGTAATTGAGGTCTGTTTTAGTAACATTTCTAATTTATCCCTTATACTGTGCCACTTTCTTTTTAATGTCCGTCGGAGACATAGCACTTAAGCCCTATGGACCACACACCACCCAGTTTCTAATAGTGGGTAAAAGAGCGCTCTGCCTAGGCTACAGTGTCGTGGTTCGAATCTCACCTCAGGGAGCCTAGTGTGGTTGACGTTTTTTGCTTTTCTTTGCCCCGTGCCTCGTTGATGTTATATAAGTGTTATATACTTTTTTCCTTCCTGACACTATTGCACCCCTAGCCCTGCATTAGCAGCCTCCTCTTATTCCCCTTCATTACGACTCCTTGTCTTATCTGTTCTTCTGCTGGGCAGATCAGGCAGATCCATGTAGCAGATAAATGAGAGCATTGCGAGTACGAGGTCATTCTAGAGTTTCTATGAGATGACAATGCAGTGCAGCGTGGCACAGAGCAGTTCTGCATAAAGAACAAATGCTTTAGTTTTTGGTGCCATGTGACATGTTTGGATATACATTTTGTCGTGTGGGACAAATGACCTTGTATTATTATGCACGCCACACAAGCGTACCTATATCGTGGGGTGTTGTGTGCATGCTGCTGGTTGTGCTTTTGATTTTGCTTTTTGTTTTTGAGCTTTGTCGCGTCGCGCCGCGTTTTTCACTGCGTCTCTCGTCACGCTCCTCCTCTCGCTGTTCCTTCCTGTCGCTGCTCCTGAAGTCTTCAGGTATACCGCGCGCGTTGACATGCGCATTGCTCTTCTTTGCCTCGCGATCTTGCGGCAGGACGCGACGAGGCAGAGTGCGATATAATTATCCGTGTGAACTAAGCCACAGCTTCATCTCTCGTGCGCGATCTAGCCAGCGAGAGACAACACTCGGTCATTCCAACAGCATTCGCTGCATTGCTTGACCGAGGATCTTCCCCCAATCTTCGTGGCTCCAAGGTGCAAGTTCTAAATAGGCTAGGATGGCTCGTGCATATGTGCTCGCTCCCGCTCCGCCCTGCATTCGCCTAATAGAGAAATTGTACGGTATTTTTTTAGTTCTGCAGAACAAAAGTAGTAGCGTGTGCGCATGCGCACGCCGCGCAAACTGACTTACGTACGTTACGGGTCCGACCGAACATGATAATATGCAGACGGTTCAAGAAATGGCACTTACCAAGTCGTTAGACACAACAACTGACGGTGATCCCACAGGCGGGATGGTGACAAGCGACCAACTTCGGTATAATCAACCGAAAAATCGGTCAGACAAACGGCGGAAAAGGTCTCTGAGGATCAATACTGTTCGCTGTGGGATAGTTATGATCATACTCCTGGTGATGTTTACACCGCTAATAGTCTCGAGTTTTCCTTTTCCGTGGACAACTGAACAGGTAATGATTGGTGTACTCTCCACAAAACCGATAAAACAATCTACCCTGAACACTTATCTATAATACATCTTGATTGCCTGCATGGTTTAGCAGTGTTAGCTATGAGGCCTAAAAGTGTGGCATGGACATGAGACCATGAAATGTTGTCAATAACATAATATCTCTTGCAATGGCATGTGGTAAATAAACAGTAGTGTGGCTTTGGCATGTGGTAGAACCTACGTAATACTGCTAAAGATGTGGCTATACTTTACTTCCTGCAGAGTGTATACACCGGTCCAGTGTGTATTCGGGAACTTCGAGACTACCAAAACCACTCGGCACAACCCCTCTCAACTCTTATCCTGGCAGACCTGGAGGCTACTGGTAGAGAGAAAGAGGTTGTGTGGGCCGTCGGATATCTCCTGAATGCTGCCAATGCCACTCAGAACTGTGTTGAGGGGATAAGACAATGGCTCTGTGTGAAGCTTTTCACAAGTGAAGATTGCGAGACTCCCTCTAGTTATGACCAGCTGGTATCCATGACCCCATGCCCTGAGAATACAGTTCGTTCTGTCTTGGAAACCTCGGTATATCTTCAGAATTGTGTCCTGCATGCACTTGCAAATGGCTCAATGGAAACATAATGGGTATAGGCATTTGCACAGTTGAGATTAACTAATCTATTACGAGCTGCTCTTTCAGATAATGATATACCAGGAGCGAGGTTGTTTGAGTGCAGGGAAGACTTTTTCTTTGACAACAGCAGCAAGAGATGTGTCCCAGAGTGTGGGAAGTGGACCTACACGTCACACAGAGACGACAGAATACTCACTGGATTCAGCATCACTGGAACATTGCTGGCAATACTCATTTCTATAATCTTTGTGGTTGGCTCTGGCATAAAACACAAGCAGATGTGAGACTGTTTCTTTTGATGTCACTCGTATAATCACTTACCTTTCACACATACAGGTTTCGGTTTCCAGCTATTTTCTTAGTTTATTCCTCTGTAACTCTTCTCATCTACGGTTTCTTCAACTTTGCAACAGAATTTGACAGAGAAACAGTAATTTGCAGTTCAAGAAATCTTGTCGAAACCCTTGAAAAAGGCGGCGCATCATTCTATTGCCTCTTTGTAGGTATGACTGTTATAATAGCTCACATTGTAAATTCATTAATAATGTTATTTACAGGGGCATTCTCTGTATATGGAAGAGTACAGGTTGTTCTCTGGTGGGTTTCTCATACCTCAGTACTAACATATGGAGTGTTCAGGCCACTCAAGTACCAAATGGCAAGCAATTTGGGCCGGCTCAGATACGTACACATCGGCCTGCTAGTAGCAGGTATCATTCTACCTTTGATCCCAACTCTGATCCACTGGTTTGTGGGAGTGTATGGTGTTGATGCCGTGAGGAACTATACATGCATCCCAGGAGACATACTGCCACTTGAGAACCTGCCTTTTGCCATATTTGGTACTGTCACTTTAGTGATGTTTATGCTTATTGCCTCAAAGATATACCAGATGGTTAGTATGCCATATTGCGTTATATTGTGTATTAAGTGTAGTTGTTTATCTGCAGAGACAAAGAGGTGAGGCTAAGGGGGACAAGTATCTAGTCGAGATTAAAGTGCTCATCATAATATCCGTCTCCATTTTTGGGTTCATTGTCCTGGCTGGCAGTGATTCCATAATACAGTGGGGAGCTGATTCTATCCGCAGAGACGTTGAGGCCTTTTTCAACTGCGAGGCCAGAGGACTAATCCCCGGACTTCACTGCTCCAGAGACTCGTTCAATTCAGCCTTCTCCATACTAGACACTGTTGGCGTTATGGTGCGGGCCATTCTACCAGTTTTTCTTCATATTGTTCTTGGTGGATTTCAAGTCAGTCAGGAGATGTCTGCTAGGACACAGGCAGCTAAACTTGCAATTGTCCACTCGACTAACTCTCTCCCAATCTACTGTTGTATAGCGATAGAACTTTGTTTGCCCTGGGCAATTATATACCATGTGTAAAAATGTAGTCAGAACACAAAGATGTGATCCTTCTGCCTATGCAAAGCATAAAACTGGCTTATCAGAGCATCAGTAGACACTCTGTGTAGGAATACCCACGTACCAAATGCCTCTGCAAATATGCCCAGCTAAGCCTTCAAAATAAGCAACAATCAAAAAGGCAGAGGGGGTAATTGTGAAGGAGTTGACAAACGAGGCTTGATCAGTGGCATCCCCTAGAGTTAGAGATGGTATGGTCTGAAGATCATAAGCATAGGAAAAATTCATTGATGCCGTGCCTACAGATCAACCCTCGGCGCGCTTGCGCAGCGAGGGTTACTGTAGTCGTTCTGTCTGTCTGTGTGTCTGTCTACGACTATTCTCGCACTACAGGCTACGAGGCGGCTTATGAGCGATACCAACAGCTTTAGCGGTACATGGGCTAGAAAAATAAAATGGCGATTTTGCTGAAACTACTGCGTTCGAGTGCGACAAACTGACATGGTCGCCGACAGCGTTGCGTGGCCCAACCCATTAATAAGCGGTGCGCATGCGTGTATTAGACGCGCTCACTTCGACCTGATCCGCTTGCTCTGTGTACCTTGGAGGCACAAGAAGCCACAGCGAAGGGTGTGTATATCGACTCCCGCATGCTATCTACTACTGTAGCTAGCCAGTGTCAGGACTCTCCGCAAGCTACTAGCGGGAGACCGCGAGTAAACGCCAATCCGCCCCAGGCCCCCAGAGCCCATCCATTCGGCGGTATATACCGCGCATACGCAGTTCGCCGAGGGTTTGCACTTTCATTGATATCAGTTCTGATAATAAGAGATCCACGACAAGAATCTTTTCCTATTTATCAGAAAAGCAACTTGGTAGCGAGGTAGAAGTCGGAAGAACAGAGGATAGAAGAGGAGCAGGGCTGGTGGTAGAGCAACTATAAACAACAGAAATACTATCGCAATCATCGCATACTTGAGGTGTTGTCCTTTGAAAGGCTCCATGTTGTAGGATGACATATTTGAGGCAGTGGTGGTCCTTATCAAAGATACAGGTTGAAACAAGAACCAAAGTAAAGGCAAGGCAAACAAGTGAACTACACCCATGAGAGAGACACAGATCCGACCAATCATTATTGTGGCTGAGTGATCGATCGTTTACGCATGCGCACTAAACAACAAGTCAACAACGCATAATGTTCGCACATTGCCCTGCCAAGATGTAAATCGAGGGACAATCCCAGGGGGAGTCACTTTCAATTTCGCCTATCGCTCGACTTCTTGGGAGTTGTCTTGATCATCATAACCTCGGTGCACTGGAAGAATCAAGATGTCCCCTCTCACGGGTGCTGAAGACATTTATTGCCTACTTATGCAGATAGCCGAAGCCCCCGAAAACGAAGACCTCAAAGTCGAGCTGCGGAAAACTGCTTCGGGGACGAGAAACGCTTCCCTGGGGGGCGGTGTGGGTGGACTGCTAGGCGCAGCTGCGGGAGCCCTTTTGTTTGGTCCCGTGGGAGCTGTCGCTGGCGCAGCTCTGGGCGCCGCGGCGTGTACGTCAGCAGCCGTGCAAGGAACCGATTTGAAGTCGATCCCAGAGATTCTTAGCGGTGCATCGCGTGAGGATAAGGGGCGGTTGGCGGAAGCGGCCAAACGCGTCTCCGTCGAAATCTCCATTAGGTTGACGATGGGACTGGTGGTACCCCGTGTCACAGAGGAAGCTAGACTATTGCTGGTGCAAGTAATGCGAACTCTTGGCTACTCCCTGCCGAAAGTGATGGAAGAATAGACAGCAGTCGACCTATCAACTTTCAGTTATCGTCATTTACTAATATTACCAGAAAAGCACTAAGTGCAAACCCTCGGCGAACTGCGCATGCGCGATACCCCAAAATCGTAGGCTATGCGTTTCTGCGTTTACTCTTGGTCTCCCGCTTAGCCCGCGGAGAGCCTGACACGGGCTAGCGACAGTAGAATGTAGTATGCGGGAGGTGATACACGCCCTTCGTTGCAGCTTTTTGTGCCTTCAAGATACACAAAGCGAGCGGACGCGGTCGAGGTAGCTAAGCCTGTGTTCATTTGCAAATGGCTGGTTTTCACGCCGTAACTCTCGAATGCAGTACTTTTATATACGAAAATCGCCAAATTTAAAATCAAGCCAGTGTGGCGCTATCGCTCTTTGTTGTCTCCTTGGCGCGTGGTGGCGGTAACAGACAGACAGACACACCAAACGGACCGCGTGCGCGCCGAGGGTTAATAAGTCACCCAAAAATTATACACGTTTGGCATTATAACTCCTCTCATCAGCCTGGTTTACACCACACATGACCTGTGTCTCCCGGTAGCTAGCTAAGTGGTATATATAAAAGGACACCCATGGTCCTGTCGGGAGCACTAAAGAAAGGATGATTGAACAGCCCTGAATTTCTCCTGTGCCACTCTCTCCTTCACACTCAGGCCACAGATACCTGCATGTGGCTATATCACAGAGTCGGTAGACTCTCTATATAGGGACGACACGGGTGAAATCTCACGTGATCCGCGTACAAACGACTAAAATCTCGGTGAGAATCACTCCTAGGCCTTCAAAACATACTAGCAATAGTCTACGGGCCCATATCTACCTATACATGTCCCCCAAGACCTCATACGCACCTTCAGTCGTCCACGTGAGAATTCGCTCATACGCGATTCACGATTTTCGTGTCATCATCATATCTTCATCTTCTTCTTCTTCTTCAGACCCGCTAGCTCCTTACCGGAAGCACTTGAAGCGTGATTTTTCACAGAACGTCTCCGAATTTGCCGGAGGTGTGCATGCATATCAAGCGATCGTTTCTTTCTTGCCGCAAGTCACTACGGTAGATCGTTTGAGCTCTTCCTCGGTAGTCACTGAACAACGCCATTTGTTGCTAACTCAGCATCAGTGAGCCGCATGCGCCGAGGAGGGCGTTTCCAATGCGGCGCGCGCGGCATTTTGTCTCGTAAACCTGGTCCACGAACGAGACTATGCCAGGACTGGATGCCTCAGAGAAAACTACTCTCATCCTTCGGTGCCTTCTGTAAGTCAGTGTGCACATTTGTAAGTGGCTAGCTTGCGTTTTGCTGTTGATTTGCACGAGGAGAAACTTGGCAATCTGCGCCGTGTTACGCGTGCCTTGCCAGGCGCCTTCATTCTTTGTCCCCCAGGTCATAGCTATCATTGTAGTCTGATTACTGAAGCCTGCCTATGAAACCACCCCACCATATGTGCCACAATCTAATTGCATCCTTGTTGGAGACACTACACATACACCCTGCTTCAGGTAGGAGCAGCCCATTAGCTTCTGCTTTCAACAGTTATCTCTACAAACACCCATGAACATCAGAGTGACTGAAAATGCAGTGTTGTCATAAGGCGTGAAAAATAGTGGAAACAAGTGGAAAAATCATTTCTTCAAAATGAAAGGGGGACATAGGGATGGCTTGAAGCACCAAAAAGGAAGAAACAAGGGGTCATTACACAGCAAAGGTGCACAAAGCTACATGACACCATCCCTATATCTTTGTGTTATTGTTCACAACCAATCTCGCCCTGCTGACATTTTCCTCCCTAATTGGGAAAGAGCCGCGCTTGCCGTCTCCGTCATTTCCACTCTGCAACAGTTTACCTTGAAGTAAAGTTTAATATGAGACAAAGATATAGGGATGGTGTCATGTAGCTTTGTGCACCTTTGCTGTGTAATGACCCCTTGTTTCTTCTTTTTGGTGCTTCAAGCCATCCCTATATCCCCCTTTCATTTGAAGAAATGATTTTTCCACTTGTATACATAATATTAGGTATATACCTCCATCTTTTGAAGCATGTCAGCCAGAAGCTCATCTCCCACGATGGAGGCTTTGCTCCCCTGCACACCACGTACATGACACAATGAAATGTAAACCCTCAGTTCATCCTTACCAACCCCTATACACAGTATTATGCAGAAACCGATTCATGAAGAGTGGTGGCACTAACCTGACCAAACACATAAACCCTTTGCACAGGTGGAGGGTTATTTTGGCGAGAAAAGCGAGCCCACCTAGTCATGCCAACAGGCTGTTTTCTTTTATGTTTGGTAATTGTAAGTTTACTGTGCCATACATAGCACAGTGGTTTAAGTTTGCCTGTGGTAGTGTGTGTATTGTGTTGAAGATTTGAACCCCTACCAGCTGAGTTGCCCTGGTAGCTCAGTTGGTAGAGCGCTCGCCTAGACAGCAGAGTATCGTGGGTCCCGAATCCCACCTACACAGGGCAGCTCTTCATTTCCTTGGGGGAAAGTTTTCCTCGGTTTGAGTCCCACCCAGGGCAGCTCTTCTTCTTTCCTTGCAGCTTTCCAGAGTGTAGTTGACTTGTTTGCTTAGGCTTGCCTTTCTAACTCACCTGTTTTGTTGTCACATGGATGAATAAGAGGATACATGTCGATGTGTTGTAGGTCGGGGTTCTGAGTGAGGGGGAGAAAGATGAACTGGTGGCTGCTGCTTTGCTACATGCACATATCTCGTGAAGAACACAGCCAAAACAATTCCTCAACCAAGAGAGGTAATAGTTGTTATTACCAGATTTTAGACACATGTAACCTACCGAGTCTCCTCTACTTACAACTAATCTGATTGCTCTGATTGTGTTGGCCGAGGCAGTGAGTTGGCCATCTGTCGCAAACCACCCTCCATTCGCTTCTCCCTCTCCTCTCGCCACCTACTGTACTTGCTTCTCTCTCCCTTCTTCCTCCATTCACTCTATTGTGTATTGACTTATGTTGGTTTATTGAATACTGGCACTGCACATACATATCACCCTGTATGTGTATGGTGCATTGTGTCATGATGTGGTGTGTACTTTTGGCCACGGGCCATGATCTGTTGTGAGATTGACAAGACACTTGAGCTGTCGTTCCTGCTAGCTGCGAGAACTTAACCCCCTCCCCTCCCTCCAGACAGTCAGAGACGGTGGACCTGGAGCCCCAGGACTGGGAGCTGGTGGTAAAGTGTGAGGAGGAGAGTGTCCCTGTGAGGTGTGGGTGGAGTGAGGATGGGCTGGAGGTGAGTCTGGAGGGAAAGGAGGAGCCCCTGACAATCAGCACTGATTGGAGGCTGGGAGAGCCTATGATGTTGGCTGATGTTGACGGCAGAGAGGTTGCAGTCCAGGTGACTTTACTGTCTCTACACTCCCTGTGTGTGAGAATAGTGTACTGACTTATGATAATATGGTAGGTGCCCCAGCACCATTTCCCATATTAAACTGCCCAGGACTAAATTTTAACATCAACTGCAGTTTGTACTCTACAAATTTATTTTTCAAACACACACAGTATGAAGCTCGACGAGGGAGAAGACTCTTCCTTAGGCACTATGGCAACAAGGTATTATATATACATGTACTGTACGTACTATGTAAGAATCATTGGTGAGGCCAAATGCTAAGAAAACAAACTGACAACACCCAGGACAATAAGAGTTATGAGCTGCAGCCCTTGGTGAGACTCAAACCCGCAACACTCTACAGTCTAGGCAGAGTGCTCTACCACCTGAGCTGATTATATAGAGCTAAACAGTAGAATCTCCTATAGTGAACACCCAAAATAAAGGTTATAAAACAAAACCTCTCAATAAAGGATACCTTTTGAGGTGCGGAATGTTCACTTTTTAGCTTTTTGAACCTCCAAACTGAGGACAACCTCCCTTTAATTGACAAAATGCCTGGTCCCACCGTGTCTGTTATTCTGAGGGTTCCACTCTATCTAACACAAAGCAAAGAAGGGTGCTAGTGTGTTGTCCTCTGTTGTCACAGTATGAGGTGGTGGTGTATGACCCCCAGTCAGCTGAGCTGAGTCGCCACATCCCAGAGAGAGGCTCTGTGAGTTAGTTGAAGAGGAGAAATAATACATTGTGTGTGGAGAGAAAAAATGGCAGAACAAAAAGAATTGGGTCAGGCAACAACCACACAGTTAAGTTGGTCTGGTTGGCTATATTGTCAAAAAAATCTTTCTGTGTTCTGTAATGTCCCAAGGTCCTAGCTACGGCCTAGAACTGAGATTTCTCACATTTTGTAATACACATCGACCCCATACTTTTTTGAATTTGTTTTCGAGTGGTGGAATACTATGTTACAGTCATATATAGGTGACAGGTTGCTGTAAAATGAAGGTCCTTTGTGGAACCTCAAATTGTAGAGCCGACACAATAAGTTGTAGAGAATAACCTTGAGTTTTAAACGGACAGGAAGACCAGGCCCACATTCTGAGAGCCCCGATGCCGGGGGTGGTGAAGAAGGTCCAGTGCCAGGAGGGAGACTCCGTGGCCCAGGGGACCCTCATTGTCACCCTGGAGGCCATGAAGATGCAGAACCCTCTCTTTGCTCCCATGACTGGACGAGTGAGTGGAGAGACTAAGTTTTAAGAATAGAACAGTATAGGCACAGTGAAAGAATGTAATTGAGGTCTGTTTTAGTAACATTTCTAAATTTATCCCTTATACTGTGCCACATTTCTTTTAATGCGTCGGAGACATAGCACTATAGCCCTAATGGACCACACACCACCCAGGTTTCTAATAGTGGGTAAAAGAGCGCTCTGCCTAGGCTACAGTGTCGTGGGTTTGAATCTCACCCAGGGTAGCCTAAGTGTGGTTGACTTTTTGCTTTTCCTTTGCCCTGTGGCCCTCGTGATGTTATATAGGGGTTACTTTCCTGGACACTTGCCCCTAGCCCTGGCAAATTAGCAGCCTCTCTTATTCCCCTCATACTACTGTCTTTCTGCTGCAGATCAAGAAGATCCATGTAGCAGAATGAGAAGCATTGGCAGAGACGAGGTCATTCTAGAGTTCTATGAAGATGACAGCAGTGATGCAGTGGCACAGAGCAGTTCTGCATGAAAGAACAAAATGCTTAGTTTTTGGTGCCATGTGAAATGTTTGGATATACATTTTGTCGTGTGTTTTGGACAAATGACCTTTGTATTATTATGCACCCACACACCGTAACCTATCGGGTGGGGAAAATCAGCTCCTAATTGGCGAGCGGGAGCGCGCGAACGCCGCGCAGCGTCCGTACGTCGTGCTACTGCGCATGTCGTCAGGATAACGCGCTTGCTGCGCATTGCTCTTGCCTCGATCTTGCGGCAGACGCGACGAGGCAATGCGATATAATTATAGTGTGAACCTAAGCCACAGCTTCATCTCGGTGCGCGATCTAGCCAGCGAGAGAAACACTCGTCCATTCCAACGGCATTCGCTGCATTGCTTGACCGAGGGTCTTTCCCCAATCTTCGTGGCTCCAAGGTGGCAAGTTCTAAATAGGCTAGGATGGCTCGTGCATATGCTGCTCGCTCCCGCCCGCTCGCCCTGCATTCGCCTAATAGAGAAATTGTACGGTATTTTTTTAGTTCTGCAAGAACAAAAGTAGTAGCGTGTGCGCATGCGCACGCCGCGCAAACTGACTTACGTACGTTACGCGGGTCCGACCGAACATGATAATATGCAGACGGTTCAAGAAATGGCACTTACCAAGTCGTTTAGACACAACAACTGACGGTGATCCCACAGGCCGGGATGGTGACAAAGCGACCAACTTCGGTAATAATCAACCGAAAATCGGTCAGACAACGGCGGAAAAGGTCTCTGAGGATCAATACTGTTTGCTGTGGGATAGTTATGATCATACTCCTGTTATGTTTACACCGCTAATAGTCTTGAGTTTTCCTTTTCCGTGGAAAACTGAACAGGTAATGATTGGTGTAAACTGCTCCACAAAAACCCGTATAAACAATCCACCCTGAACACTTATCTATACATTTTGATTGCCTGCATGGTTTAGCAGGTTTAGCTATGAGGCCTAAAGTGTGGCATGGACATGAGGCCATGAAATGTTGTCAATAACATAATACCTCTTGCAATGGCATGTGGTAAATAAACAGTAGTGTGGCTTTGGCATGTGGTAGAACCTACGTAATACTGCTAAAGATGTGGCTATACTTACTTCCTGCAGAGTGTATACACCGGTCCAGTTGTGTATTCGGGAACTTCGAGACTACCAAACCCACTCGGCACAACCCCTCCAACTCTTTCCTGGCAGATCTGGAGGCTACTGGTAGAGAGAAAGAGGTTGTGTGGGCCGTCGGATATCTCCTGAATGCTGTCAATGCCACTCAGACTGTGTTGAGGGGATATAGACAATGCTCTGTGTGAAGGCTTTCACAAGTGAAGATTGCGAGACTACCCTCTAGTTATGACAGCTGGTATCCATGACCACATGCCCTGAAATACAGTTTCGTTCTGTCTTGGAAACCTCGGTATATCTTCAGAATTGTGTCTGCATGCACTTGCAAATGGCTCAATGGAAAACATAATGGGTAGGCATTTGCACAGTTGAGATTAACCAATCTATTACGAGCTGCTCTTTCAGATAATGATATACCAGGAGCGAGGTTGTTTGAGTGCAGGGAAGACTTTTTCTTTGACAACAGCAGCAAGAGATGTGCCCCAGAGTGTGGGAAGTGGACCTACACGTCACACAGAGACGACAGAATACTCACTGGATTCAGCATCACTGGAACATTGCTGGCAATACTCATTTCTATAATCTTTGTGGTTGGCTCTGGCATAAAACACAAGCAGATGTGAGACTGTTTCTTTTGATGTCACTCGTATAATCACTTACCTTTCACACATACAGGTTTCGGTTTCCAGCTATTTTCTTAGTTTATTCCTCTGTAACTCTTCTCATCTACGGTTTCTTCAACTTTGCAACAGAATTTGACAGAGAAACAGTAATTTGCAGTTCAAGAAATCTTGTCGAAACCCTTGAAAAAGGCGGCGCATCATTCTATTGCCTCTTTGTAGGTATGACTGTTATAATAGCTCACATTGTAAATTCATTAATAATGTTATTTACAGGGGCATTCTCTGTATATGGAAGAGTACAGGTTGTTCTCTGGTGGGTTTCTCATACCTCAGTACTAACATATGGAGTGTTCAGGCCACTCAAGTACCAAACGGCAAGCAATTTGGGCCGGCTCAGATACGTACACATCGGCCTGCTAGTAGCAGGTATCATTCTACCTTTGATCCCAACTCTGATCTACTGGTTTGTGGGAGTGTATGGTGTTGATGTGGTGAGGAACTATACATGCATCCCAGGAGACATACTGCCACTTGAGAACCTGCCTTTTGCCATGTTTGGTACTGTCATTTTAGTGATGTTTATGCTTATCGCATCAAAGATATACCAGACGGTTAGTATGCCATACTGTGTTATTAACCCTCGGTGCGCATGCGCAGCGAGGGTACAGTACTTGGGTCTGTGTGTCTGTGTGTGTGTCTGTTACTCTATATCTCACTCCTCGAACGTCTGTTCGTCCCAGGAACGATACCATCTACCCAACGGGCGACGAAGGTCAGAAAATAAAGGCGGTTTTCTCTGAAAATGCTCCGTTGCGAAGCTAGAGCGCGAAAAAGCCAATATGCAAATACACAACGGACTTACCACAGTCGGATCGATCCGCGTGCTCTGCGTACTTTCGGAGGCACCAGAAGATGCAACGCAGGGGCGTGTATCGCCTCTCGCATGCTATCTAGTAGGGTAGTTAGCCCGCGTCAGGACTTGCGCGAGCTGGCAAGAGACCACGGGTAACAGCTAAACTAAACCAGCCCATCAATAGTGGTACGGCGCATGCGTTACTTACGCGTGCGCGTCACAGTGCGCCGAGGGTTGCACTTCAGTGCTTTTCATATTGTGTAGTAAGTGTAGTGTTTATCTGCAGAGACAAAGAGGTGATGGGGCTAAGGGGGACAAGTATCTAGTCGAGATTAAAGTGCTCATCATAATATCCGTCTCCAATTTTGGGTTCATTGTCCTGGCTGGCAGTGATTCCATAATACAGTGGGGAGCTGATTCTATCCGCAGAGACGTTGAAGCCAGAGGACTAATTCCCGGACTTCACTGCTCCAGAGACTCGTTCAATTCAGCCTTCTCCATACTAGACACTGTTGGCGTTATGGTGCGGGCCATTCTACCAGTTTTCTTCATATTATTGTTCTTGGTGGATTTCAAGTCAGTCAGGAGATGTCTGCTAGGACACAGGCAGCTAAACTTGCAATTGTCCACTCGACTAACTCTCTCCCAATCTACTATTGTATAGCGATAGAACTTTGTTTGCCCTGGGCAATTACCATGTGTAAAATAATGTAGTCACAACAGAAAGATGGATCCTTCTGCCTTCGCAAAGCATAAAACTGGCTTATTAGAACATCAGTAGACACTCTGTGTAGGAATGCCCACGTACCAAGTGCCTCTGCAAATATGCCCAGCTAAGCCTTCAAAACAAGCAACAATTAAAACAGCAGAGGGGGTGATTTTGAAGGACGAGGCTTGATCGTTCACGCATGCGCACTAAACAACAAGTCAACGACGCGACGCACTCTATCTACAGATGTGCCTCTGCTTTCATCAACGTTATAAATCGAGGGACAATCCCAGGGGGAGTCCCTGTAAATTTCTCCTATCGCTCGGAGTTGTCTTGATCATCATAACCTCGGTGCACTGGAAGAATCAAGATGGCTCTTTTCTCCCCTCTCACGGGTGCTGAAGATATTTATGAACTACTTATGGAGATAGTCGAAGCCCCCAAAAACAAAGACCTCAAAGTCGAGCTACGGAAAACAGCTTCGGGGACGGCAAACGCTGCCCTGGGGGGCAGTGTGGGTGGACTGCTAGGCGCAGCTGCGGAGCTCTTTTGTGTGGTCCCGCGGGAGCTGTCGCTGGCGCAGCTCTGGGTGCCGCGGCGTTTACCCGAGCAGCCGTGCAACGAACCGATTTCAAGTCGATCCCAGAGATTCTTAGTGGTGCATCGCGTGGGGATAAGGGGCGGTTGGCGGAAGCGGCCAAACGCGTCTCCGGCAAAAGGTTGACGATGAGACTGGTGGTACCCCGTGTCACAGAGGAAGCTAGAGACTTGCTGGTGCAAGTAATGCGAAATCTTGGCTACTCCCTGTGGAAATCTTGATGGAAGAATAGGCAGCAGTGGCCCTATCATGACTTTAATCGTCATTGACATCACTGTATTACAAGTCACCCGAAAATTATCACGTTTATAACTCCTCTCATCTGATAATTAACCCTCGGCGCGCATGCGCTAGAGGGTTATAGTTGGTCTGTGTGTGTGTCTGTCTGTCTGTCTGTCTGTCGGTCTGTCGTGTAGTGTGTGTGTAGCTACACGTTTTCTGCCACCAGCGCGCAACAAACCTGAGCCACCCCAAAAGCGCACCAACGGGTCAGCGCGTAGCGAGGATTTCATTTTAAATGGCGATTGCGTGCTACTGCGTCAAGAGTGAAAAAAACCAAGTGAACAGCCATATGACGAGCCACAGGCTTATCTCGAACAGGTCTGTTGCATCGCCTTGTTTGTTATTCTTGAAGGCCACAAAGAAAGTCACACGAAGGGCGCGGTTGATTGACAAAGTGGATGAGAAAGTTGGAAGTTAAGGCTGAGCCACTCTCCCCTCTTCGTTTGTCTTACAGTTTTTTTTACTAGGCTAGTTTGCTGCTGAATTATTGGTATTCTCCAAATATTATATAGTGCTAGTTTTTTTTGGATAAAGGAATGTGTATAATAAGTAAACAATAGATAGTCATGCATTTTATCCAGAGGAATCACTCATAAGATGTCAACCGTAGTTTCTCTAGTCGGGCAAAGAAGTTGTGTTCGTCTAGCTGTCCTCTCAGTGCAAAATCTATTTGAAATGAGGATAATTCACCATTGTTTTTTAAGCTAACAACCAGTTGTCACAATAGAAAAGTGACTGTGAAAAGAAATGACTGTGATCATGGTTATACTTAACTAGGCAAACAAGTACTTTAGAATGTGAGTGAGGGGTAAACTCAATCCTCCAACTCACTTGACATCAGGCTTGCAAGGGCTATGTGAGAGAGAAAGAGTGACCCTCCATAGCATACTGGGACCAGTGTCACTACAGGGTGTGGGCTGTGTGGATGGTTTCCCCCATTCTAGTGTGTGTTGAGGCGTGTGTAGTATGGTTGTAATAGGACCATCTGTATTAAAATCTTAAGTACAATATTGAACAATAAAAAGTCAAAGCCTATTGTGCCTTTTTGCCCTTGAGAGTGGTTGTGTAACTGTTGAAGCTGATTGCTCTTTATAAACGTCCCATAGCCATCAGGATACCTCATTACTAAATGCCGCTTAGGCGTCATTGCTTAACTAGTTGCGGTGGGTGGCATGGTTTGGCTCTAAACACGGTTGTGGACTTCCATGAAATTTGGTTTCTGGACATGAGTCTGATTTGGCTTGAACAATAGATAAATAGACTTCCCTTAGGACTAGCGAAAAGTTGTAGGTGTCTTTAAGACGATGCGTTGCAAAAGATTCATGCCAGCTAGGCAAAGACAACAGCTGTGTTTGTACATTATCCAGTCTCGGTACAGGAGGGATGGAGTGTGTACTTTGAGGGTATTGGAAGACCCAAGGTGTTACAACAAATTATGATGGACATCTGGTGCATGAGCGAATTAAAGCATCACCGGAGTCTTACTGTTGGCCAGGTTTTGACAAACGACGTAGAGCCAAGAACCAGTACGGTAATAGGTCAACAGAATCAACATTTCCCAGCCCCATGCCCTTGCTGCTTCGTCGGAATGGTATAAGTCTCCCTGGACAAGTATTAACGTTAATTATATGGAGGTTCAGGCCACTAACGTGCAAGCAATTTTTGGGGGCCGGCTCAGATAGTACACATTGGCTCTGCTGCCCTGACACTCAATGCGCGACGGGAAAGGAGAAGAAGAAAAGCCATCATTAGGAGCACAACAGAGATAACCCGCAACCAGCACCCCTGATGAAGTAGTAAGGGCATAAGTAGCTAGGTATCATTCTATCTTTGACCACTCTGATCTACGGCTTGTGGGAAAGTGTATGGTGTTGATGTGGTGAGGAACTATACATGCATCCCAGGAGACATACTGCTCAAGATTGAGAACCTGCCTTTATGCCATATTTGTACTGATCACTTAGATGATGTTTATGCTTATTGCCTCAAAGATATACAGATGCGTTAGGATGCCATAGTTGCGTTATATGTGTATAAGTGATAGTGTTTATCTGCATAAAGAGACAAAGAGGTGAGCTAAGCCAAGTTCCACTGTCTAGTCGAGATAAAGTGCTCCTCATAATATCCGTCTCCATTTTGGGTTGGTTCATTGTCCTGCTGGCAGTGATTTCCAGAATAACAGTGGGGAGCTGATTCGTATCCGCAGAGACGTTGAGCGCCTTTGTTGCCAACTGCGAGGCAGAGGACTAATCCCTGGACTTCACTGCTCAGAGACTCGTTCCAGTTCAGCGCTTCTCATACTAGACACTGTTGGCGTTATGGTGTCGGGCCATTCACAGTGTTCTCATATTGTTCTGGTGGATCAAAGTTCAAGTCAGGAGGATGTCTGCTGCTAGACGCAGGAGCTACAACTGCAATTGTTCCACTCGACTAACTCTCTACCAAACTACTATTGTATAGCGATAGAACTTTCTGTTTGCCCGGGGCAATTACCATGTGTATATGTAAAATAATTAGTCACGGCACAACACAAAGATGTGATCCTTCTGCATACGCAAAGCAATAAAACTGGCTTATCTCAGAGATCAGTATATAGACACTCTGTGTAGGAAGCTCACTACCATGCTCTGCAAATTATGCCCAGCTAAGCCTTCAAAAAAGCAACAATAAAACAGCCGAGGGTGGGTTTGGTAGGATCGGTGGGTGGGGGGTAGGGGGGGTTAATGGGGGTAATTGGGAAGGATTGACAAACGAAGCTCTGATCAGTTTGAATCCCTAGGTAGAGCTGGCATGGTAGAAGATCATCAGCATAGGAAAACTCATTGATGCCGTGCCTACAGATCTTGATTGTTGATATCAGTTCTGATAATAAGAGATCCATTACAAGAATCTTTCCTATTTATCAGAAAAGCATGTCTCAACAACTTGGTAGTGAGGTATATAGAAGTCGGAAGAACAGAGGATAGAAGAGGAGCAGGACTGGTGGTAGGGCAACTATTATAATTATAAACAACAGAAATACTATAGCATACTTGAGGTGTTCTCCTTTGAAACAACGCATTATCTACAGATGTTCGCACATTGCCTCTGCCAAGATGTAAATCGAGGGACAATCCCAGGGGGAGTCCCTTTCAATTTCTCCTAACGCTAGACTCGAGTTGTCTTAATCATCGGTGTACTGGAAGAATCAAGATGGCTCTTTTCTCCCCTCTCACGGGTGCTGAAGATATTTATTGCCTACTGATGCAGATAGCCGAAGCCGCCGAAAACAAAGACCTCAAAGTCGAGCTGCGGAAAACAGCATCGGGGACGAGAAACGCTTCCCTGGGGGGCGGTGTGGGTGGACTGCTAGGCGCAGCTGCCGGAGCCCTTTTGTTTGGTCCCGTGGGAGCTGTCGCTGGCGCAGCTCTGGGCGCCGCGGCGTGTACCTCAGCAGCCGTGCAAGGAACCGATTTCAAGTCGATCCCAGAGATTCTTAGCGGTGCATCGCGTGAGGATAAGGGGCGGTTGGCGGAAGCGGCCAAACGCGTCTCCGTCGAAATCTCCATTAGGTTGACGATGGGACTGGTGGTACCCCGTGTCACAGAGGAAGCTAGACTATTGCTGGTGCAAGTAATGCGAACTCTTGGCTACTCCCTGCCGAAAGTGATGGAAGAATAGACAGCAGTCGACCTATCATGACTTCAGTTATCGTCATTTACATCACTGTATAGCAAACCCTCGGCGAACTGCACATGCGCGATACCGCAAATGTAGTAGGCTACGCGTTTCTGCGTTTACTCTTGGTCTCCCGCTTTGCCCGCGGAGAGCCTGACACGGGCTAGCGACAGTAGAATGTAGTATGCGGGAGGTGATACACGCCCTTCGTTGCAGCGTTTTGTGCCTTCAAGGTACACAGAGCGAGCGGACGCGGTCGAGGTAGCTAAGCCTGTGTTCATTTGCAAATGGCCTTTTCAGTTGGTTTTCACGCCGTAGATAACTCTCGAATGCAGTACTTTTACGAAAATCGCCAAATTTAGCTATCGCTCTTTTGTTGTCTCCTTGCGCGTGGTGGCAGATAACAGACAGACAGACACACAAACGGACCGCGTGCGCGCCGAGGGTTAATAAGTCACCCAAAAATTATACACGTTTGCCATTGTAACTCCTCTCATCAGCACCACACATGACCTGTGTCTCCCGGTAGCTATATAGCTAAGTGGTATAAAAGGACACCCATGGTCCTGTCGGGATCAAATTGCCCTGCTCTCGTCTATCCACCTCCCGTGGAATGGACACACTGTAACATCTATCAAGTGCCTTGAGGGACACCCCCTGCAATCAGTGCCCTGAAAAATGTGTTGAAAATCATCGTAACACCAATTAAGCTATTTGGAAAATGAGTGCAGAGTTGGGGCAAAGAAGGGTAGTTATTGCTAGTCGTAATTGCTTGCAATAAAAGATGATAATTTCCAAAAAGTTTTCTCTCTCTTTAGTTCACGAACTCCTCACTGTTCTTTCAGCCTACCCGGCTTGAGATCAGGAGTGAGACGTGCAGCAGATTAATTAATCTGAGGTAACCTAGTGAAGGAAGCTGTCTGTGCCAGCACTAACACGCTTCAAGTGCAAGAACACTACAGGGTTAGACTTTCTTACAAAGTAGGAGTATGCAAAATTCCCCACTAGTATTCTCCATAAAAGTTGCTGAATGTTTAAAGTGCTGAAAGTAAGGACACTAGCAATTTCTACCGAATTTCCTCACAAGAAATTGAGGCATGTTCAGAAATGCTGCACAGAAGATGCTTATGATCACTCAAATTCACTTAAACATGAACAATAAACAGAAAAGGGTATCCTAAACTCTCCTAACAACATTCTCTTTTGATAGTTGTAGGTAATTGTTTAGCTAATTGTTTTCCCCTTATTCTGTATGTGTCAAATAGCCAGTTGTATTTAGCTTTTATGTGGGAAACTTAATTGTGAGGAATTTCTATCCTTCTCTATGCACAAGACAACAATGTCAGCAAGCTGTGTGGGATAGACATATGATTACATGTGCCCTTGTTTGTTATAAAAAGCTGCGAAGCGAAAAGAGCAAGCACCAGATTTTCTTCTGTGACTAACAAAATTTCTAACCGTTTACAGGAATGAAGCTGTGCCTCTATATCGGAGTGGCAGTCTCTCTGTTGGTGACTGCTGTACTGGCAGGTCCAGTAGAGGACTATCCTGTGGAAATGGACTATCAGGATATGACCAGTGATGGACAATCGGAGATGGACGAGAACTACAATGCTTTCCTGGAGTCCTTTCCTCTGGGAGACTTTGAATCACAGGGTGATGTGCCAACTGCACAAGATGATATTCCACAAGGTATAAAGATAATGAATATGATTATTGGTGAATACAACCAGGCTTGCTTCGTTGCTGCAGCAATGGATGATGCATTTCTCATGGCAGAGCCAAGGCTACCACCAAAATCAACAGCAGACCTGAAGCATCAACTTTTGAATCGTCCCAAACAGCAAGAGACTAGCATTCAATCTAGCTGCAATGCTAAAAGTGCGTGAGTGCAGAGTCATAAGTATGCATGTGGGCTATGATTCCTAGTCTAGTAGCTGCCAAAAAGTTAAAAGTGAGGACAATGACATTCAATTGTGCATGTGGGCTATGGTTTCATAGCTGTTATTATAGGGGACAGGCTTAGTGGATTACAATGTAGTAAGTAGACTTTGCTTCACAGTGTATGATAATGTTGCAGGGATCAAACATGGTGCCACTATTGGACTTCAGTTTAAGGCAAATATGGGCAAGTGGTTGGGCTGTGCTGCTGGACACACATGTTACGGCGTCACATGCCCCAGAATGATCTTCACAGGAGCCGATTGGAACAACTGCTGGGGAGAAGTGTTTCAAATATACAGGCCTCTTGGTCCTGGTGACATTAGGTCTGGAGATTTCGTTGCTCTCTACAACAGTCGTACTGGACACTCACGCTGGTTTTCACTTTATCAGAACAGAGGCCAGATGTTATCCTGCCCTGGAAGTCTGAACCCAGCCACTGGTGAGGTCATTCGATGCTACAAACAATGATGTAACACAGAGATGTCTCTCCCAAGCTCTCAACATTTTCACTTGCTTATAACTAGCACTTATATCTGTCTGTACGAAAACTAGAGTGAGGGGTACAGAGCGTATTATAGGGGTCTCTCAGATAATGAATTTGTAAAGTGGTGGCAAAGATAGCTAGTTTCAGTGTTATATGGCCTGAAGTGTGGTAATCAACTCTACCCTACATAGCTGCTACCTATGTGATGTCCTTTAATGTAAATAGCTGTGGTTTAATTTAGCATCAGTTCATGAATGGTTGCCGCAGGTGTATACATAAGACAATTTACAAGCTCACCATTGCCCATCGTAAACTTTGACACACTCGACTTTGCTCCAACTCACAAAATATGTGATTGTAGAGCTGAAAGCAGCACATTTACTAGGCGCAATAATGCATATATGTAGCGATTTCTTTTAATTGTGCTCAGTAAGGTACGTATCTGCATGTAAATGTACGTGTATGATGTAAAGTGCACTAGCGGCAACCTCCTTCGGTTATTGTACATTTTATGTCAAAAGTGTTTATTTCATAGGGTTTGATCATCTCTACAAGTGGTTCCTTTGTGGCGGGGAAGTTTTCCGGATATATGCCTATGGAAAAAAGGATGGAGCTCCTCTAGATGAGGAAGATGATATTATGCTCTACTTCCCAGCGGTGGCACCTTTGGTCGTTTCCCAAGTAATGGAGCAGTTGGCGTAAGCACATGTCCTCGTGGACAACTACCTCCCACTTGTGACAAATTTGATCGTTGCCCTGAGAACCTGATAAAGGTCACAGTGAAATAAGTAGCTTGAACATTCTTTGATCATGGATGCTAAAACGCTATTGAGACTCTTTAGTTTAGATGTGTGTTAAATAATCTAATCTTCATCAATGAAAAATGTGTGTTAATGATTAGTTACGGGCACTCGCCAATTAAAGATGGACAAAATATATAACAGCTGCACGGGCTGCAACAATCAGTCGTTTGAAAAATTCATAATAGCTGGAATAGTCATTAACATGGGTGGTTCTTGTTAATGTGTCAATGCTCACTTGCCAAGAAAGTTTCGCCCTATGTGTGCATTCTACATACTTAAGAGCTTCAGTGATGTGAACCCAAGGATATCCTGATGCAAAAATAGATTCATAAATCATTAGCCGCATAGCTGGACATAGCTCACAAAGTTATTCATCTGATTTTAATGAGCAATACATAAACACACCATAAAAAATAAGTTCATCGGTCTTGTCTTTACTGTGAGACTTTATCTACATGTATACCATAATGATGCACATTAATTTTTAGTGTTATCACATTATCACATTACAAAAGTGTTATCATTACCTGTGCTTATATGTGGATTAGTTGGAGGAGATGTGTGAGGAAGAATTGTGGCGTACAAAACAGTGTCTTCCCTTATGTCTGGTGGTCTTTGAATATTCCATACAGCTTCAGGTTCCACTTGAATGTACTATATATTATTATTATTGGGGAGAGGGAGCAGTGTACTGTTATTCATCTCTCTGACAGTATTAAAGCCACAGCCCCGTTTCCATATAGACTGAAGGACTAAACATGTTTCTGACCCACATGGAAACCTGCCCTAGAAAGTCCAAACCAATGCACTGGTGAGGTCATTCGATGCTACAAACAATGACGTTACACAGAGATGTCTCTCCCAAGCTCTCAACATTTTCACTTGCTTATAACTAGCACTCTAACTGTCTGTACGGAAACTAGAGTGAGGGGTACAGAGTGTAATCATAGGGGTCTCTCAAATAATGAATTTGCAAAGTTGTGGCAAAGATAGCTAGTTTCAGTATTATATGGCCTGAAGTGTGGTAATCAACTCTACCCTACATAGCTGCTACCTATGTGATGTCCTTATTAATGTATATAGCTGTGGTTTAATTTAGCATCAGTTCATGAATGGTTGCCGCAGGTGTAGCTATACATAAGACAATTTACAAGCTCACCATTTCCCATCGTAAACTTTGACACACATTGTGCGTGTGCGCACTGTAGGTACGTATCTACATGTAAATGTACGTGTATGATGTAAAGTGCACTAACGGCAACTTCCTTTGGTTATTTTACATCTGCCATACCCCACTGACTTGGTGCATTATAAACTGATGAAAGTTTTTGGATATTCACATTGAGAACTCTGTCTCCTGAGGGGCTTAACCTAGACGAGTAGGCACCCACAGAACACCATCGTGGACAGCCCTGGTACAAGACCTGGCAATAAACATGTTAGAATGAATCATACGTCTATCTATATAATAGACAACATCTGCCTGTGTATTCACTTGCCTGAAGAAGATCCCTCAGGGATCGAAACGTCGCAAGATGATATTTTTGGTCAGCAGTCTGCACGCGAAGCCCTTCACCCTTTGCGGTAGCATCAGCTTATAATGGACCCGTATATACGGGCTTCGGCTGGAGAGATCGGTTGTTTTTGGGACCAGACTAAAAGAATCTAACCCACTGACTTGGTGGAAAGATCATAAGAATGAACTTCCACTGTGGGCGAGTGCATGCTCTCTAACTCTTTCAACTCACAGCAAGAATCCTCATTGGAAGGTTATACAGAACTTTCTGTCATTCTACAGTATAATAATTGTAGTAGTAACTGAAAAATTATTTTCATTTGTAATGCTTGGTTCTTTGCTCATCGATCTCCTTTTTAACTGAAGAAAAATCATGAGAAAAATAGGTGAAAGCGAAAGTAAAATAGGTTTACATTATGAGCATAAAGTATTGAGATCAGGACGTGCAGCAGATTAATAAATCTGAGGTAACCTATTGAATAAAGCTGTCTGTGCCAGCACTAACACGCTTCAAGGTTAGACTTTCTTTGTACAAAGTAACTGTGTGCAAAATTCCTCACTAATAAAAGTTGTTGAATGTAAAGTGCTGCAAAGTAAGGAGATCAACAAATCTACTGAAACTACTCACAAGAAAGGCATGTTCAGAAATGCTGCATAGAGGATGCAAAATTCCTTATGATAAAGTTTGTCACTCAAATTCACTTAACCATAAACCATAAACAGAAAAGGGTGTCCTAAACTCTCCTAACAACATTCTTTTTTGATAGTTGTGGGTAATTGTTTCGCTAATTGTTTTCCCCTTATTCTGTATGTGTCAAATAGCTTTCTTAATTGTGAGGAATTTGTATCCTTCTCTAAGGAGTCTCTATGCGCAAGACAACAACGTCAGCAAGCTGTGTGGGATAGGCATAATATGATTACATGTGCCCTTGTTCGTTATAAAAAGCTGCGAAGCGAAAAGAGCAAGCACCAGATTTTCTTCTGTGACTAACACATTTCTAACCGTCTACAGGAATGAAGCTGTGCCTCTATATCGGAGTGGCAGTCTCTCTGTTGGTGACTGCTGTACTGGCAGGTCCAGTGGAGGACTATCCTGTGGAAATGGACTCTCAGGATATGACCAGTGATGGACAGTCCGAGATGGATGAGGACTACAATGCTTTCCTGGAGTCCTTTCCTCAGGGAGACTTTGAATCACAGGGTGATGTGCCAACTGCACAAGATGATATTCCACAAGGTATAAGGATAATGAATATTATTGGTGAATGTATCCAGGTTTGCTTCGTTGCTGCAGCAATGGATGATGCATTTCTCATGGCAGAGCCAAGGCTACCACCAAAATCAACAGCAGACCTGAAGCATCAACTTTTGAATCGTCCCAAACAGCAAGAGACTAGCATTCAATCTAGCTGCAATGCTAAAAGTGCGTGAGTGCAGAGTCATAAGTATGCATGTGGGCTATGATTCCTAGTCTAGTAGCTGCCACAAAGTTAAAAGTGAGGACAATAACATTCAAGTGTGCATGTGGGCTATGGTTTCATAGCTGTTATTATAGGGTGATACAGGCTTAAACAATATAGTAAGTAGACTTTGCTTCACAGTGTATAATAATGTTGCAGGGATCACCCATGGTGCCACTATTGGACTTCAGTATGAGTCAAACATGGCCAAGTGGTTGGGCTGTAATGCACGCACATGTTACGGCGCCACATGCCCCAGAATGATCTTTACAGGAGCTGATTGGAACATCTGCTGGGGAGAAGTGTTTCAAATATACAGGCCTCTTGGTCCTGGTCCCATTAGGTCTGGAGATTTCGTTGGTCTCTACTACGGTCGTACTAGACACTGGTTTTCACTTCATCAGAACATCGCCCGCACTCTACCCTGCCCTGGAAGTGTGAACCCAGCCATTGGTGAGGTCATTCGATGCTATAAACAATGATGTAACACAGAGATGCCTCTCCCAAGCTCTCAACATTTTCACTTGTTTATAACTAGCACTTATATCTGTCTGTGCAAATATTTGAGTGAGGGGTACAGAGAGTAATTATAGGGGTCTCTCAGAAAATGAATTTGTAAAGTGGTGGCAAAGATAGCAGGTTTGGGAGCTATTTTATGGCCTGGAGTGTGGTAATCAACTCTACCCTACATAGCTACCTATGTGATGTCCATAACCCTTTGAAAGCCATGGGTATCTCCTTAAATAAGCAGAAATTGATGTATAACATATTAACGCCTAGTATTATAGCCATGTATAAATTCTTATGGACTTATGGAGGCTGGGCATATATATATGCTCGTGGCTTGCTAAGGGTTAATGTAGCAGTGGTTTAAATTTGCATCAGTTCATGAATGGTTGCCGCAGGTGTATACATAAGACAATTTACAAGCTCACCATTGCCGATCGTAAACTTTGACACACTCGACTTTGCTCCAACTCACAAAATATGTGATTGTAGAGCTGAAAGCAGTACATTTACTAGGCCCAATTATGCATTATATGTAGCGGTATTTCTTTTAATTGTGCTCAGTGAGTTACGTATCTACATGTAAATGTACGTGTATGATGTAAAGTGCACTAGCGGCAACCTCCTTCGGTTATTTTACATTTTATGTGAAAAGTGTTTATTTCATAGGGTTTGATCATCTATACAAGTGGTTCCTTTGTGGCGGGGAAGTTTTCCGGATATATGCCTATGGAAAAAAGGATGGAGTTCCTCTAGACGAGGAAGATGATATTATGCTCTACTTCCCAGGCGGTGCCACCTACGTTCGTTTCCCAAATAATGGACATACTAGCGTAAGCACATGTCCTCGTGGACAACTACCTCCCACTTGTGACAAATTTGATCGTTGCCCTGAGAACTTGATAAAGATCACAGTGAAATAAGTAGCTTGAACATTCTTTGATCATGGATGCTAATTAGCCATAGCTTAAGACTCTTGAGTTTAGATGTGTGTTAAATAATCTAATCTTCATCAATGAAAATGTGTGTCAATGCTTAGTTACGGGCGCTCGCCAATAAAAGATGGACAAAATATAATAATAATAATAATAACGGCTGCATGGGCTGCAATAACGCAATAAGTCGTTTGAAAATTTCCACAAGAGCTGGACTAGCTACTCATTAACACTATAAAGTGGTTCTTGTTGTTCTTTTCCGACCTCTCCATCCCATTATGGAGTGTGATCAGGGGTGGAGTCTACTTAAGTGGTCGCTCCACCTCATAAGGGGAAGTACCCAGCCACGCCCACTGCCGAATGGAAGCTGTTTTAAAGTGTCAATGCTCACTTGCCAAGAAAGTTTCGCCCTATGTGCATTCTACATACTTAAGAGCTTCAGTGATGTTAACCCAAGGATATCCTGATGCAAGATTCATAAATCATTAGCCGCATAGCTGGACATAGCTCAAAGTTATTCATCAAATTTTAATGAGCAATACATAAACACACCATAAAAAATAAGTTCATCTGTCACTTCCATTTACTGTGAGACTTTATCTACATGTGTACCAAAATGATTTTAAAAATGCTTTCACATTACAAAAGTGTTATGGATTATGGGGAGGAGATGTGTGAGGAAGAATTGTGGCGTACAAAACAGTGTCTTCCCTTATGTCTGGTGGTCTTTGAATATTCCATCCAGCTTCAGGCTCCACTTGAATGTACTATATAAACATTATTGGGGAGAGGGGGACAAGAAAGCCGTGAATAATGGCATGTCAACACATATATAAAAAAACACTGAGAGCAAAAAATGTACAATTGAAATCACACTTTGAATAGCATACATTTCTCTGACGAGAAACAACTGGAGCAGTGCTGTGTGGAGACGACTCTTGGGTCACACCGGAGTCTCTACTGTCTGGTCCAGATAACCGGTTCAGGTTGTTTGTCTCAGTCTCAGCAGTGTTTGGAGTCTGCTGCGCGTCTGTGGTAGCTTCAGACAGATTTGGGAAGTTGTGTGTACGAGTGGTAGTGTTTGGTGGCTCTGTGGTAGCATTTGGCAACTGTGGGTATTGTGGTAGCGTTTGGCGAGCTGTGGGTATTGTTGGAAGGTGCAGGTGAGGGTCGGTGGTAGCTCCGCCTCAATGGTAGTGTTGGACTCCATACTGCCCTGTGATTCAGAAGACTCCCTAGTGTCACTGAGGGAGCTCCCTTCAGTGAGTTGTTGTGTTGTGTCATCACTGCCAGAGGAGCCACTAGACTCTGTTGTTGAATGCTTGCCCAGGAAACTGAAAGTATGAGGAAAGATAATCAGGCTGTGGTAGGGAAGGTGGTTACCCCAGTTCTTTCCCAGAGGTCATTGTGATGTCATAGTCATTGAACTGTTACTATGTGTATATATATGCATAGGTATTGCTAAGTGGAATTGTTGTATGCAATATGGTGGAATAGAAAGTACACCTCTGTGTGTTTTGCATAAAAGATATGTGTAATAATCACAGTCAAGTAGGTGCAGAGTTTGCACGATACATTTTCAGTACACAGCATTGATTGCAAGCGTGACTAATGTACCTCTTCCTCTCAACATATTCATTGGCTGCACTTTTACCACATTCAGGATGTCTATGTCTCTTAGAAACTGCATTAGGAGGAATAACAACCAGTGAATAACACAAAACACTGGCTGAGATCATCGTGCAAAGTCAGCATCTAAGGCAACAAACTTTTGCTGGGTCCACCAGCCTACCTCTGCGGTTCCTAGTGACCAGCACAGCCACAACACCCACTATTCCCAGGAAGGTAATGATGAATACCATTGGGAATACTACCGACAGAACCACAGTCAGCTCTTTGAAACCTGGGGGGAATTTAAGAGAAGCAATGAAGCATGAAATAAACTGTCCCTAAGAATGAACATACCATTTTCACTGTTGCCTGCTGGGCCTGCTGATGACTCAAGATCTGAGGCTTTCGGAAAGCAGCCTGCATATAAAAAACCCAGGACATAATGCATAGAAAAATTGGCTAACATGAAATCATACCCATGTTGTGGAAGTCTGAGGAAGTTGAAGATACCAATGTGTGGTATGCAGGGTTCTCTTGACCCATAGAGTCATCGTCATCATCATAGACCAGTAGTGAATACTCTCCTGCTGGTAGTGTTGCCTTTATCACAGCTTCTCCAACCCCCTCCAGTCTTTGTGCATTGCACTCTTCCCTTCCTTCCCCTCATCATTGATCAGGACTATCCTAACAACCCTGGCCTCTGACCCACTAGCAAAGTAGCATGTTATCTCGTATTCAGTGTTTGTCAGTCTGACCTCCACATTCTGGACGTCAAATGTACCTGTAAGCAGATTATCATATATACAGTGCAGCTGAGCTTGCAGGATGATGAAAGCAAGAAAAATCCCTCAATACACACAAGTGCAACAAACAGGAAATTGTATCATAGGGGAGTTCCCCCTTTTACAAACAAAGATTATTCATACTTACTCAAGCTCAGCTCAAATGTGGAGGTTCCATCCACTGTCAGAGTGACATCATACAGTTCATTCAATTGAATATCGCCTGACTGGAGAGTCAAAGTCGGCTGGAACTGTTGACTTGTAACTGAAATGCTGATCAGTTGTTGGGTAAAGGTTGGCATGAGATCGAGGTCAAAGCTCGTCTCCTTGTTACAGTTTCTTCTAAACTGCAACTGGATCATGAGCCCACAGTTAGTTGTGCATAATAATTATACCGAGTTAGCTATACCTGGAAGGTTATTTCAGGAGTTTTCCCACCAAAAGTGACCGTGGCAGTGTTAGACACTGTCACTACTGTGTAAAACACTGAAAGTTATAAGCAGCCACAAAATACGTAAGATACTTGTTCATACCATCCAGAGTCAGTGGTGGTCTGGTATACTTGTCTCCCACACCAACAACATTGACTGCTGCTATCTCCACTTGGTAGTCAGATAGCTGGCAGTCTTGTGACTGGAGGAGGTACTCAGTGTCTGTTGTGTTGACAGTGAGCACAGAGTGATGGTCCTCCATGTTGATAATGGTCACTAGATAGTGGGAGATGTCTGGCTCCACATCAGTGATGTTGTGAGAGAACGGAGGACTCCAGCTGAACTGTATGGACCCATCTTCTCTGATTGTATAGTCCACACCAGGAGCCGGTAGAGGGCCTATTGATTGAGTGTTGTTACTATTACCATTATCCATAATTTTTTGAAAAGCAAACCTTGGATGATGATTGTGAAATCAAGTGGTTCAGGGGAGTCACTATTTGGACGAAAGTTGACGACAACACATCTGAGAGTTGTTTGGTTAACTTCCAGTGATGCATTGAATATTACTCTTCTTCCCTTTGTCCCGTTGGTAGCTGGCTCTTCGTCTCCCACAGTAAAAGGGCCTTCATTCCCAATTATTCCTCCACCAGTTCCCCAGTTGATTGCAAAGTTGTCTTCATCAGGTGCTGTACAGAGAATACTGTGTTCCTCTCCCTCTGGGAATACTAGCTGCTCTCCTGTAAGAATGAATCGTCTACATGAAGAGTGACTGACGGACTAGCTATGTATAATTTATACCGTGCAGGATATGGGCCAGCGATATGGCAGAAAATACAAGCGTGTATATTGCTTTCGCCATGAATTCGTGAATTGTGAGTACTTTTAGCGGCAAGATGAGTAGTAGCTCCAAGCTCCTTCCCTTTTATAGTCGAGTCGTCTCGGCAATGCGCACAAACGTAGCCCATCTCCGCGCAGTGCGCTAACCCCCCTGGGCGGGCGCGCATGGCATGTCCGTCCGTTTGTTACTATGACTACGCGCAACGAGACAACATATCGTCGCTATCTACACGCTGGCTTCAAAAGGCTACTTTCGTATAACTACTGCGTTAAAAAGTTATGGCGTAAAATGCAAGTGAACAAGACAAGTTAGCACAGGACCGGGTCCCCTTGCTCTGTGTTCCTTGGAGGCACAAAAAGTCACAACTAACCTCCCGCATGCTATCTATAGCTACTATTATTATAGTGTGTAGTAATAGCTAGCCCGTGTCATGCCCAGTTCGCCGAGGGTTTGCACTTTAGCGCTTTTCCTTGCTACTGAACAAACATTTCTACTATCACTCAACCCTTTTGGCTCTCATACTCTATAGACTCCAAGGCATTGCCGGCCATCCATTGCTAGCAACCTATTATAGCTGAAGTGGCATGATGTAAATCCCCATCCAACGGTTAGCAGTACAAGTAGGTAGTGAACATTTTAATGCTTCTGATGTTAAGATGGAGATAATTTAGCAGTCAATATCAGAGTGACTCTATACCAATGAAGACTGTTTACATAGATGAGACAGGCATGAAATCAGTTTTTATACAGGGTGATGCGATAACAAACATAGATGCTAGGCTCAGAGAGAGGTTACTGATTCCACAGTATCATATTCATGCGTGTTAGAGGTGTTGTTTATATGTGGTCCCTTCGTATGGATCATATACACTGGGTTGTCATCCATGATGTATTTATGCTGCTTCTCTGCTGATTCATCATGTTTGTGTTTGCTAAGCCTTGGAGAAAAAACAATGGATGTTTTTGTTAAGGAGTGAAACATTGAAAGTTACGAGAACTAGCAAGCTTTTCTATACAAAGCAAGCACATGCAATGCGGACACCTGCATTACTTTTTCGAGATGAGCAGCAACACCAAAGTAGTAAAAACAATGATGACCATAGACAGTACAGTCAGTCCCACAGCTATACCAACTGATAAAGAGCAGTTGAACTGACCTAACACATCAAACAGGCAGGAACACTAATACATTACTGAAAGAAGCACTTCGTGTGAACTTACAGTCACTCATCTCTTCCATTGTTTCATTGGTATCTGCAGTTACATATACGGGGAGGTTTATAAAATGCAAAAGGACGTTGTTAGAGTTCTTCCTCGAGTGGCTTTGAGTGCGCCATTACTGAAATCTCTACTCTCTCTCTAAATTTACGTACAGAAAATTTAAATGCATGATACGTGAATGACGTGATACAGCAATGGGCGAACAGATGTCCTATATAATACAGCGTCAAACATCCCATAGCCATTGTTGTGTTTACATGGTTATCCATATATGTGAACTTGTTTTGTGTTGGGAGTTTTTGAGCAAGGAAATTTGTATTTACCTGTTTTATCCCTTAGTTGGGCATAAGATATGGTCAACTCTGTAGAGTAAGCTGGATATTCCGTTTCATTATCAAACACATCAACCGTATAATTTCCATTTGGTAAAACTATCACAGTGGCTGCCTCTAGACTCCCAGCTATTCTACTGGCAGTGTAGACATGACGAGAGTCCCTGCCTTGGTTCATCGCCTCGTGAGATCTCAAGACAATCTTACACTCTTTGAGTTTTGAGCCAACTGCAAAGTGACACGTGATGTGCACATATCCACTGTATTCCTTGATGGTCACACTCTGTACATCAAATGTACCTAAAATGTATAGAGTATGTGACATCAAAGTTTTTTTATAATGCGAACATACTGCAGGTGAGGTGATGCTGAAACATAGGAAAACCTTGAATTCTCACAGTGGCTTTGTAGTATTCATTGAATGTAACCTGTTCTGATGACAGGGTAAGCAGCGTTTGCCCGAATTGCGTGGTATTGCTCAGCAGGTTAAGTGAGGGACCAGACGAATAGGTTGGGACGAGCTCAACATGATATATGACGTCGTCCAGACAGTTGCTGTGTAGCTGTAGAGAGAAATGTTAAGTATGACAACCGACTAAAAGCCCCTTTACTAAGTAAGGTATACGTACCTGGAGCTTTAAAACTGGAAAATCTCCACTTAGATCAGTTTTAAAGTTTGAAACACTCCTTAGTACTACAGTGAGATAATGGATAAATGGCTAACTATTAGCTATACGGCAATTTGCAATTCATATCTATACCTTCCATGCTAAAGTACGGACTGGCATATTTCTTTCCCACACCAACTACATTCACTGCTGCTATTGCCACTTGGTACTTGTTGATTCCACAGTTTCCATTGTGCAAAATGTATCTTGTCTTTATTGTGTTCACCGTGTATTCAGGAAGATCATTTCCATAAACATACACTAGATAGTGGGAGATGTCAGGTTCCACATCAGTGATATTGTGAGAGAACGGAGGACTCCAGCTGAACAGTATGGACCTGTCTCCCTTTGTGTACTCCACATCAGGAGCTGGAAGAGGGCCTATTGATTGAGTGTTGTTACTATTACCATTATCCATAATTTTTTGAAAAGCAAACCTTGGATGATGATTGTGAAATCAAGTGGTTGAGGGGAGTAACTATTTGGACGAAAATTGACAACAACACATCTGAGAGTTGTTTGGTTAACTTCTGGTGATGCAGTGAACATCACACGTTTTCCCTTTGTCCCATTGGTACCTGGCTCTTCATCTCCCACAGTAAAAGGGCCTTCATTCCCAATTTTCCCTCCATCACCAGTTCCCCAGTTGATCTCAAAGTGGTCTTCATCAGGTGCTGTACAGAGAATACTGTGTACCTCTCCCTCTGGGAACACTAGCAGCTCTCCTGTGGCACGTGTCGGCAAATTACTAGCTATAGCTAGCTCTAATCTCTACCTTGCGACGTGCAGGTAAAAAGCAGGCAGAGCCCCACGCTATAAAACAACACGACGGTTGCCATTACGGTGCGATGCAGCTGAGATGTCCGTCTCAACTGGGACCGGTCGGTGTGTTGCCGGAAGAATACCGGCTGGTGTGCGCGCGACCGCACCGCCCCAGGCGCGCATGCGCAGCGCGTGGGCATTCCGCGGAGTAAGTTCGCAAAAAGCATCCGGCCCAGCGTATGCAGAAGCTCTGGTAAAAGTATAGCAGCCACCGCGTCCACCGGATTGCTGCACGATGTATAATCTTGTCATTACCTTTTTACTTCTTTCTGTTGCAAGTGCAGAGAGAGACTGCCCCACGTGGCACTATCTATCTGCAGAGGGCCGCTGTGTATGCGGCAGTAGTCTGAATGACGTGGTAGTCTGCAATGATACATCAGATCTAGTTGGTGTCCTGGCGGACTACTGTCTGACCTCGGATGGTAATGAGAGCGTGGTGGGACACTGCCTAGCTGAAGATGTCCAGAGAGAAAGGCTCCTCGGTCCACTCGGTAACTACAACAAAGTATTTCCAACTCTCCCTAAACAGGACAGCAACACTTGTGGTTTTCTCAACCGCCACGGAAGACTGTGCGGTCAGTGCAAACGTAGCACATCAATACATGCTTATACGTATGACATGAAGTGCTATCCATGTCCATCGAACATAAGGATTGAAGTTATAAAGTACATTTGCATTGCCTATGTCCCCTCTCACTCTCTTTCTCGTTGTTGTGGTGGTATTTCATATCAGTGTCACCTCTCCTGCTATGAATGTTCCAGTCCTCTGCTGCCAATTACTCTCCCTGCCCTTTGCTCTAAGGTTCATCTGGCAATATGCACTGGTTTACCCAAAATTGAGGCTCTTTGTTCAAATCTTTGGAACGTTGTATGGCATATGGAATCTTGACTTTTTTCGTTTGGTTATTCATCCCATATGCTTGCAACTGGATGTGATGAATTTGATTGCTCTAGATCTGCTAGTGGCTGCCTATCCTCTCTTCCTGCTGGTGTGTTTCTATGTACTTGTGACAGCTCATGACAGAGGATGGAGGCTAGTTGTGAGGCTGTGGAGACCATTCCTCTGGTGTTCCGCAAGAATCAGACAGCAGTGGAACGCAAAGCATTCCATCATCGATGCATTCGTAACATTCCTTCTGCTGTCTTACATAAAGTTTCTCAACACATCCATCGATTTACTAGTCAGTAGCAATGCTTACAACGTGCATGGCAAATCTGTTGGTACATATCTCTTTAACAATCCTACAGTAGGGTTTATGAGTCACCGACATGTGCCCTACGCCATCATTTCTATTGTGGTTCTTGTGGGACTCATTATACCTCTCATTCTCCTGATACTCTACCCAATGAATTGGTTCCAAGTCTTCCTCAACAAGTGTCACTTGAACAGCCCAGGTCTGAGAATGTTCATGGAGTGTTTCCAAGGATACTATCGTGACAGGTCGGATGGAGGGTGGGAGTGCAGGTACTTTGCAGTTGTGTATCCTGCCCTCCGAATTCTAACCTACTTCATGTACATTATCTTTAAAGGGCTCAGCTTTTACACAGGATGTATTGTTCTCTGCGTTGCTGTCATTGGTGTCATTGTACTAGTACAACCTTATAAGCCACCCTACAGGTTATATAACAAGTTGGATATTGTTATGCTCTCCTCGCTTCTCTTGTTTCTCATTGGGCTTATCCAAAATTCTTATTATGGCAATGCAGTAAAGTTGGTTATTGTTTGTTTCACCACACCTATTCCCACAGTTTACTTCACTTTCAAAGTTTTACATTTTCTGAAAAGGTTGTTTTGTAAGTTTTTAACAAAGTGTCCCAAAGTACACAACATTCAACAGTCGTTGTATGGTAGTGTGTAGCATAATTGTCGTGCATGTTCTTGTTTCGCTACTTATAAACCTCACTTTTGTTACATACATGCCTTGTTTTGTTGCAATTGTATTATGTTGTTTAAATGCCAATGATAAAGGTCACAATTTGCTTTCGTTTTTTTAAAGACAACGTTTTATGCAGCTATTTAAGTAATAGGTTCTGATTACACACCCCCACATTTTCCACCTGAAAATAAACTAGTTGGGCATTGGTAACTGTACATAAGAAGATGATAATAATAAGAGACTATAATTTGTATGAGATGCACTAGTGAAATGTTCATACAGTGGTAGTATATACCAGTAGAGGTACATGTTTTTCACTGATGTGAGGAGAAGTCAACGCCAATGTCTACACTGCGAGCCAGCTCACATATCTTTGATACGTTCACCACCTGACACATGGAGACATAGTAGTACAATATGTGTGTTTTTAAAAAAATTAACCCTCTGTGCGAATGCGCAGCGAGGGTTACAGTACTTGGTCAGTATATTTGTGGCTATTTATTGCTAAGTAAATTGCACAGTTATTGTCTTGTTTCTATACGTGCACTTACTACACTTTCCACGCACTGCGAGTTAAAATGCTGACAATTCAGAGTTATTGAAAGTAGGTTTATGGCATATAGAGATATCAAGTTACCGTTCTGGCAGCGAGGTCAAAGTCCTCCACAGCGATCATCTTGAGTCCACTGGCCTCAATCATAGCCTTGGCCTTCTTCTGTCTGTTCCCTGCAGTGGTAACACTGTGTCACTTTAGACAAGACATGTTAAACTAAGTACAGGTCTCAAAGCAGGACTTATCATTCCTCCAGTAAAAATTATGACATATTTGAGCCAAGCCAACTTCAAGTGCATCTTTTCTTTCAATCTGATGGCAGTACATCAGGGATAAATTTAGTTAAGATCAATACTGCCCAGTAATAGAATTAATTTCTGCTTTTAGTCTAAATTGTAGCTCTTACGTATATTATACACTTTCACATTCCCTTTAAGTGATGCAGCATTGGCTAGAGAGCAATTAGCTCGCACTGCCTTTCCAATGCAGAACACATATTATAGCGAGGGACCTTGTAGCCGGACGACAATGGGGACAGTAATGTTGATCTCTTGTGCCGCCGCTATGATGCCTCTGGCTATCTCATCACATCGAACTATGCCCCCAAATATGTTCACAAACACTGCATTCACCTGGGAAAGAGTGTTGTGGTATTAGAACATTCACATACTGTAGTCCCAAGACAAACCTTACTCTATGAACATGTTTGCAGCTAGAATCATGTAAAGTACATATATAGCTAATGCATTAGTTTCATGTGTTGTGTGGGAATGCACAAAATATGCTGCAAAATTAAATCCCAATTACAAGTGTGACATATATATACTTCATGAGAATAACGCAATTGGGTTTACGAGGGAGACATGTGTCCTCACATTGTGGTCACTGTGGAAGATCTGAAAGCCGTCCATGACCTCCTTCGCACTGGCCCCTCCCCCTATGTCCAGGAAGTTGGCTGGCTCTCCTCCATACAGCTTGATGATGTCCATGGTGGCCATTGCCAAACCTGCTCCGTTCACTACACAAACAACACTCAACATGATAACAAGTTCTCAGTCTTGATTCTAGATCCATAATTCCGACTACTATGTAAGCTGGAAAAGTATTGTAATCATTGTGTATCTTAAACTGGTGGCCTACAATTATTAATTTGTGGAAGCACATTGGGAGAAAGACAAGACAACCAGTCATCTTAAACACATTGACACTATGCAACTGAAGCATAATTCACCCTCTGGAGTTACTGTGAAAAATGGAGGCGGAGAAGGTGTTTGAAACATGGAGGTAAGGACCACACCAATCCTCATATACTACCTTGTACTACAGTACATAATAGGAGAGGCCCTGCCTATAAAACACTTATTGTATACCTAAGCAGCCGATGCTTCCGTCGAGGCCGATGTAGGTGATGCCAGACTTGGCGGCCTCCACGTCGCGAGGATCTTCCTGAGACCAGTCCCTCAGACCGAACACCTCCTTCTGGCGGTACTCCGAGTTGTCGTCAAAGTTTATCTTTGCATCCATACACAGTACTGTTGGGACGGGGTGGCAGTTTAGGTGTGGGGAGAAACGAAACAAGGAACTCTTAAGGCGCAAACACTATGAATTCACATACAGTGGATTATGTAACCGTATATGCGTGCATGTACCCATGGTTTCAGCCAGGAAAGATTTTGTCTCCCACTATTACGTAATATTGGCTGCCTCGTGTAAGCCGTCAACCTACTTGTGTTAATGTTTTCGTTCTCCCCAAGCAACAGGCTGTGTGTACAACAACACTACCTCTGAAAAGGGACCCCTCCAAATAAAGAACACCTCTCCATAGAGGGCACTTGGTTTTGCCCCATACTATCATTATACTACCTCCGAATAAGAGTCACATCTCTAAATCAATGGAAGTGCAAACCCTCGGCGAACTGCGCATGCATTTGCGGTACCGCTAATTGATGGGCTGGGCTTGTATTAGTATGCGTATACTCATGGTGTCCCGCTAGTAGCTCGCAGAGAGTCTGACATGGGCAGAAAAGCTGTTCTGAATCTGTGACTACTGCAATGACGCAGAAACAGCAGATGTACAAGGTTAAATCCTTCCCTCTCCTCGAGAGCCTTGGTGCAAGGCTACACAAGTCTTACTTGTACATACTGCTTACATCTGTTCTGAGAGTCAGTGGCCAGAGGGTTAATCTCAAGAGCGGTGCACTCTCTCTCAATAAACATCTGGTAGAGCTTTGTGATCTGATCCACAGCCTGTGCATGCAGCACACAGATAATACTTATGTACACATAGTAGGAGTAAAGCCGATTTTTTAAACGTAGGATGTGTGCATCAACTTCACACACGTGAGTTGCTCTAAGTGTACGTATGTGGTGTACAACAATACACACTGTCAAAGTTTTGCTGGCGCTCAGTTGGTAGAGCGCTCGCCTAGAGTTGTGGGTTCGAATCCCACCCAGGGAAGTTATTGTTTTGAAGAGCTGTCCTGGGTGTAGTGGCTTTCCCCCATGCCTTTCTACCTCGTTGATGACACATGTAGTACACTTGGCAATGGGTTTAATTTAAGGTACAATATGCACTACTTACAGCGTCAAACGTCTCAGGAGGGATACCAAGGAAGTTGACCATCTTCTCCACCTGCTCCTTCTGAATACCTGAACAGGTTGCACATTATGATATTAAACAGTATAAAACCATGTCCATATACTTGGCAACAGTATTTTACTGTTGCTCAATAAATTGATATACAGGTATACTGTTCCTACACAACAGGGCTTAACTACATCCCCAACCCGGGCAAGTAGTAATGATTACTGTAGGCACCTAAATGGGGAAGACCCTGCAAGTTAACTAGCCACACATTTTTAGCGAGCCGGCACGAAGGGAGTTTGTTATATTTATAACAGTGCTCAATTTGTTTTGCGCGTGCACCTAAGGTATGTGCAGTGTCCATCACAACAATTCCCGCAATCAGACGACTAGTGTACACTCACCAACAATGTGTACATGTCAAAATAACATATAGCAATATTGAAAGGTCATTGTAGATGCCGTATGTGTGCCAAGGATAACTAACCGTCTATAATGTCGACAGGTTCTTTGAGAATGGCTGAGGGGTTGGTCCTAGCAATCTCCTCAATATTGACCCCTCCGTGAGGACTTGCAATCATGGCGTATAATATATACTTGTCTCAGGTTGTCCCCTTGTCCATGGAGGTTACAAAGTTGAGAGTGAAAGATTACTATAGCACACCCACTACAAGAAAAGTAACCCTTTTTGAGTCTTATATACAGAAAAATCCACACTTGTTGCAGAACTAGATGTCTCTTTTAGGCCAGGAGTTACTAGTGGTAAACATAAGTAAGTCAGAGGTAGGTATGCTAATTACTTCAGGATGGAAGAAGATGCAACAATAATACAGTGTGTGTGAGTGAGTGTCTACCAAGTCTGTGTGTGATGTCCTTGGCCTGATCAGCAGTGACCGCTACCTCTCCATAAGGTACCGAGATTCCAAAGCTGCCCATCAGCTCCATGCTGTGGTGCTCATGTAGGGAGACATGGCGAGTAGACTGTGCCAGCACAGCCCCTGCCTGTAGGTAATACACACACAGTAGAGATGATTAGTATAACTGCACCAGTCTAACAGTGTGCATACATTAAATGTAAAGAATACAGAGGGATGGTACTATAAAAGGATATTTACGCAGCATTCAAGCAGGGCAGAAGCTAACCTAGGCGGACTGATAGGTCACTCAAAATAAGCCACAGGGTCCTGAAATAAACACCTGTTGATTCAAAGCGTGTAGTTAAGGTTACTTACTCTCATCCACGGAGGACTACTTCTGCTGAGGGCTCCACGGACCGACGGAGCCCGTATACACCGCGTCCACAAACCGATCTTCACCCTAGCCATTGTTGTAGTTGGTAACCTTTGACCTTTACCCGTAAGAGTAACGCGCATGCGTACCGCAGGCTATAGAGGTGAGCGCTCGAGCTTGCGCGATCAAGGGACTCTCCCTGGGATTGCCCCGCGTATATAGTGTGGTGACAGTGGAATAGTGTTCGCAGGTAGTTTGGTGACAGTGGAATAGTGTTCGCAGGTAGTTACTTCTTTTGAGGGGCAATGATACCCCAAGCCCAGCTGCCTAGCTGACGCGAAGAAGGTCGCCACCGCAAGCTGACTTTGCTTACTGGAGTATCGTAGAATTGTCGTGTTTATCCTGCCTAGAGATGAAAAGCTGGTCTAGAAAGATTGCTTGCTTCGTTGTGTTGTGTTGGTTCTGCAGAACCACTTTGCTCGGTGAGGATGCATATTATAGCATGCCTGCCACCCCTTGTTTCAGTTCAGCTCTATCCAACTTTTTTTTCTTGATTTCCTCCTCACAGTCAATGCTCAGCTGGAGGAAGCAAACTTTCAAATCTTATACGAGTATTTCCTTAACATCCCACTGTGTAATTTAGGGTGTACTGGTCTTCCAAAGGACGTCAAGGTCATACATTTGGTTTATGTCTTGCAATATGTTCCCAAACCCCTTCCAACCTGGCATCAGCTCATTTACGATCATCCTTTTCATACCCTCGAGAACGGTGACGTTATTGTTTTAGATTCTTCGTTGGGATGGCTGTCATATGCCATTGTCAGCAACACTGATCCCGGTGCTGGGAGAGTTATTTGCTTTGCCAATGAGCATGCGCAGCCTGTATTTGATGTGTCAGCTTTGTTTGAATCTGGCAATGTACGCCTGAGAGAGATCCCTATTAATTTGTTGAGAGCTGTTATGAACTCTACCAGTTTCACCATTGTCAAGCAAGAAAACAAAGTGTTAACTTTACAGCGTGCGTTGGTGTTGTTGAGAGACAACCCAAAGTTTAATCTTTTCCGGTTCAACTCTGAGCATTTTGCAACCGGTGCTTTAATGGAGGAACGAGTAAGCAACCAGATTACTAATCTGCAGGGGCACATTAAGAAACATCTAATTAGTGGTGGGCTGGCAGCAGCAGGCACGAAAGAAGGAAGCCAACTTCTAAATTTGGTTCAAAAACAGTTGATGTTAGGAATGTCCAAGGCCACAGAAGAAACTGTTAAAGTTGGAGTAAAGCAAGCCGCCAGAGAAGGAGTGAAGCAAGCAGCCAGAGAAGGAGTAAAGCAAGCCGCCAGAGAAGGAGTAAAGCAAGCTGCCAGAGAAGGAGTGAAGCAAGCCGCCAGAGAAGGAGTAAAGCAAGCCGCCAGAGAAGGAGTAAAGCAAGCTGCCAGAGAAGGAGTGAAGCAAGCCGCCAGAGAAGGACTAAAGCAAGCCGCCAGAGAAGGAGTAAAGCAAGCTGCCAGAGAAGGAATAAAGCAAGCCGCCAAAGAAGGAGTAAAGCAAGCTGCCAGAGAAGGAGTAAAGCAAGCCGCCAAAGAAGGAGTAAAGCAAGCTGCCAGAGAAGGAGTGAAGCAAGCCGCCAGAGAAGGAATAAAGCAAGCCGCCAAAGAAGGAGTAAAGCAAGCTGCCAGAGAAGGAGTAAAGCAAGCCGCCAGACAAGGAGTAAAGCAAGCCGCCAGACAAGGAGTTAAGCAAGCGGCCAGAGAAGGAGTAAAGCAAGCTGCCAGAGAAGGAATAAAGCAAGCTGCCAAAGAAGGAGTAAAGCAAGCTGCCAAAGAAGGAGTAAAGCAAGCCGCCAGAGAAGGAATAAAGCAAGCCGCCAAAGAAGGAGTAAAGCAAGTTGCCAGAGAAGGAGTAAAGCAAGCTGCCAGAGAAGGGGTAAAGCAAGCCGCCAGACAAGGAGTAAAGCAAGCCGCCAGAGAAGGAGTTAAGCAAGCGGCCAGAGAAGGAGTAAAGCAAGCGGCCAGAGAAGGAATAAAGCAAGCCGCCAAAGAAGGAGTAAAGCAAGCTGCCAAAGAAGGAGTAAAGCAAGCCGCCAGAGAAGGAATAAAGCAAGCCGCCAAAGAAGGAGTAAAGCAAGCTGCCAGAGAAGGAGTAAAGCAAGCTGTCAGAGAAGGGGTAAAGCAAGCCGCCAGAGAAGGAGTCAAGCAAGCCGCCAGAGAAGGAGTAAAGCAAGCCGCAAGAGAAGGAGTTAAGCAAGCCGCCAGAGAAGGAGTTAAGCAAGCGGCCAGAGAAGGAGTTAAGCAAGCGGCCAGAGAAGGAGTAAAGCAAGCCGCCAGAGAAGGAGTAAAGCAAGCCGCCAGAGAAGGAGTTAAGCAAGCCGCCAGAGAAGGAGTAAAGCATGCCGCCAGAGAAGGAGTGAAGCAAGCCGCCAGAGAAGGGACAAAGCATGCCGCCAGAGAAGGAGTAAAGCATGCCGCCAGAGAAGGAGTGAAGCAAGCCGCCAGAGAAGGGACAAAGCATGCCGCCAGAGAAGGAGCAAAGCAAGCCGCCAGAGAAGGAGCAAAGCATGCCGCCAGAGAAGGAGCAAAGCATGCCGCCAGAGAGGGAGTAAAGCGTGCCACCAGAGAAGGAGCAAAGCGTGCCGCCAGAGAAGGAGTAAAGCGTGCCGCCAGAGAAGGAGTAAAGCAAGCCACCAGAGAAGGAACTAAACAACTCGTGAAGGAAGGATCAAAGTCTGTATCAACAGCAGCTAAGATTGTCAATGGAGTCAAGAATGGTGCCAAATCAGGAGTTGTTTTTGGGGTATTTGTGGAAGGGGTGTTTCTATCTTATAGATTGCAACAGTCATATAACCAGTTCAGTCGGGAGGAAATTAGTAAAAGGCAGTTTCGTCGCCAGGTCATGAGTGATGTGGGGTCTTCTGGTGGCTCATGGGCTGGGGGAGCCGTTGGAGCTGCTGTTGGAACAGCTGTGTTTCCAGTGGTGGGGACATTTATTGGAGGGGTTGTTGGAGGAATACTGGGCAGCTTTGTGGGGTCGAAAGTTGGTGAGGCCACTGATCACGTAGTGTTTGAACTGTAAAGTATCATTTAGCTTTCACTACAAATTCCCAAATGACACTTCCCTTTTCTTTAACTGGTAAATGTGTAATTATGCATAATGCTGGATTCATGTAAGTGTTTTATAACATGGTTTACAGTAAATATTCTCCTGATTTACCATTTGTCTATAATTATTGAATAATCTAAAGTAAACTCTGCGTGCAGTGCACATGCAGTAAGTATAAAGCACCATGTGATTGTGATCGACAATGATTGTTCTCTATAGGCTAAGTACACAGTAGTATACACGAGGAATTAGTACTTTGGCAATCGACCACACACCCCAAGCAATAATTGGCAGAACTACTATAATATAGGACATAAATGTGCACATGCAGATAATTATACTGGTGTCTTGGCTACTTCCCAGACACCCTAACTCACCACTTAGACCAGTGTAATCTGACACTGGGAGTATTTAACGCTGGTATAGCACAAAGAATATTAATAATTAATAATGGTTTGTCTAATGGCTTGAGGTACAAGATGCAAACCATGAATTGACCATGAATTGATCCCTTCCAATGTCTAACAAGCTATAATGCACTCCACCACAGGCGTGGAGGAGCTGGTGATTAGACTAGAGAATGCGAGCAACTGTCACTTGAATTGCCTACAGATATTTGGAAGCAGGTTAGCATGGCCCAAGGGCCCAGGGCTGGAACTCGCTTGTCTGGACGCATCGCCGTGCACGGCTAGGCTGCGCTGGGTGGTCGACATCACGTGACGTGTGTATAGTGTGCGGAAGAAACATAAATGGCCGGGTGTCTTTCAGCCACGAATTCGGCTTCTGCGCCCCATCGGCGTTTTTTCAGCAACATGCGTAATTCTGCCCAAATCCCCCTTCGCACGTGCGCCGTGGCTTTCTGCCGTTTCACAGACCTACGCACAGCCTTTGTGCCTGCCTTTGAGACATTTTATGACATGTCTCACTCAATCCGGACCTTTTGCTTTTTTTTACTGTACTGAAAGGGTAGATGAAAGCAGCATCAAAGCTCCGACCACCACATCCAAGTGCCGACTGACCACTTCTGAGGATGCGTGGGCGGTTTATACGAGTTCACAATTGTGCGCGTTTTCTTCACGTTTTGTAACAACATTATTTCTGACCAAAAGGGATATTCAAAAACGCTCAGACATGGCTGTAATGCACTATAATAACCCTCCTCTTTCCAATGGCAGCCGCCAGCCCAGGCGACAAGATTACGGCGCTCCTCAGGAGTCTCGTAACCACACTGCTAAAAATTACACTCCACGTCGTTGATTGGTCTGCAACTATTATTAGTACAGGTATCGTTGACGCTTGGCTATTTCCTTCCCGTGCGTGTAACTATACGTATATACGCCAGTACTAGTTACGTACGTGTGAAGCGACGTTACCATTTCTCTATAGTGGACTTGCTTTCTAGCTGTTATCATGATCAACCAAGCGTGATATGGGAGATGCAAAAGGCAAAAAATTAAAGCTGACATACTATGAAAACTATTCCTGGAAAAACTATACTGATTGGTGTGTTTTATGAGTTCCGCATAATCGCCCTTTCCGCGTGCAAACCGTGACCTGACAGGCTCACAGAAATGGCACAACGTGATACCAATCTAAGGGTTGAAGCATCAATGTCTCAAGTCAGATTCTGTCTCAAAATAAGGTTCAAAACACAGCAAAAGCAGAATACACTTGGAAACTACAAATTCGGGTGACAATAGTTGTGTTCATTAGTAGCCGAGAGCAGCCCAAGAAATGTATCCTCCCGCTGAACGGAGGTGCCCAATAATGGCGAAGTGCCACAATTATTGACTCAGCCAACAGCATCAGTAGCAATAATTATCATCGCCTGATCGGTATCTATACTGCAACGCATTGTTGGCGAGCGAGCGCGAGCGGTAATTTTTTGCGCATCACGTATATTATAGGTAAAACACGGCGTGACAGCGCCAGACTGCACAATTCCTGAATTGAAACGACTAGGTAGGCTCGCTTCGCTCGCCTATTAGTGTATTTGCGAAGGCAGTCTAAAATTTTGTGTTGAAGTCAAAGACATCAGCATGGTACGTAAGTTTATTCAAAGATAGCTACGTAGCTTCCTTTACCTTTATGCCGCTTGTCGCTATAGCTACGTAACCATCCACTTTGTGTTTGGTTGGAGTTCCTTTCACGTATTCGTCTTTTAGCGCCACACATTGTAACCTGACCCCCTTCTCCCTACAGGGCGAAGGAAATGCAGTAATTTTTATTGTTGGGACAATAATCGCAGATGTTGTTGGAGCACTACTAGCTGCCATAGATATTGGCCTGGGTAAGTATCTGTTACAAGACTGTGCAGAAATCTGTGTGACTGTGTCGAGCGCGTCAAGTCAGCAGTGGAAAATATATAGTCGGCGAGTATTTTGTTCAGCCATTTCAAAGGAAGGGCTCAAGTCAACCACCCCCTGCGCAAGCTGGTGGCTGGAATTGTTGTTCTGGGTGCAGACTGGCACTAGGTTTGGCGCTCACAATTTTGCTCAAGCGCGAGAGTGCCTCGATCCCCCCCTGCTCACTGCTGCATGCACAGTGCTCGTTCTTTTTCAACCTCCAAGGATATTATTCCGTTTTTTGGGCAGTGCACGTACGTAGGTCAAATTCTCATGATGGACAGCGCGATATGGAATATCGTTTGTAACGTCCAAGACGTCGAGCGTTACGTCTACATCGCGTTCTAGCGGCGACCATCAACTCGAGCGCAATGGTTTGGGTATTCATGGTTGCACGCATACTCTTGACCCAACCCATCAATTGGCGGTACCGCACATGCGCAGTGCGCCGAGGGTTTCCTTTTCATTACAACAGCTATTATATGCTTTTTTTTATTGGCAGGTGCCTGGTTCTTGCAAAGGGATGATGACATATTCGGTTGCTCTAGTGAAAGTGATGATATTGAGCAAGGCAATTTCATCATTGGTGTATTGTCAATTCTAGTTGGTGCTCTCTTTTACTACTATCTGATCTTACTGGGAATAGCAGGTCTTTTACTACTATGTGATGGCTACTCAGCAGTAAAAATTTTTGTTGGTATTTTAGCGGCCGGCAGTACCGTCGTTGGAATAATTAATACCTTTATTGATGCAGTTTTTTCTGGTATTAATGAGAATTGTGGAACGACTGAAGCTAATGCTTTCCTGTTCTTTAATATTGTAATCAGCCTCCTTGGTGGCTATGTTGCAGTTCAAGTATTTATACTTCTTTTTGTGGCTATTTTTGTTAAAAACTGATTGTGGTTAGCTACTTATTGTGTATGACTGTGGTGAGATTGTACACATCATAATCATTTTTTGACACAATAATTATTATTAGTGAGCAATTACAAGCACGATCATAATGAGAGCAGAGAGTAGCTAACCAACACTTACACCGTGGACACACATGCCTAAACAATTTCACTAAACACCTAGCCTTGGATTCAGAGCGTGGTAACTAACATGTCCACCGTGGACATCTGTGCAAGGGGTTTTGGAAACGATCACGCTTTTCATTGTAAGTTTTATTTAATTAACCCTCGGCGCGCATGCGCAGCGAGGGTTACGGTAGTTGTCCCGTAAGTGTGTCTGTCAGTCTGTCTGTCCGTCTGTGTGTTACCACGTTTTCTGCCACCGCGCGCACGAAATCAGGTAAATAGCGATATGATCGGGTTCAGTGCTACACTGGGTTGATTTTAATTCGTAAAACTAAAGTTATGGCGTGAAAACCAAGTGAACAAGCCAATATGTAAATTAGCACAGGCCGCGTCCGTTCGCTCTGTGTCTTGAAGGCACAACAAGCAACAAGTCACAACGAAGGGCATGTATCGACTCCCGCATGCTATTTACTACTGTAGCTAGCCCGTGCCAGACTCTCCGCGAGCTACTAGCGGGATACCACGAGAAAAGGCATAAAAAGCCCAGCCCGTCAATTAGTGGTACCGCACATGCGCAGTTCGCCGAGGGTTTGCACTTTAGTGCTTTTCATAATATTATACCCGAATTCATTCTTTGAACTGTTCAACAGACCTCTGCCTAGAGACACAAAATATCGAATGTAAATGGCCAGCTAATCATGGATGTTGAATGCAGCATGATCATTGCCATTGTAGTTTCTATATGCCCCGCTGGTTGTAGCAGAAAAAAGGTTTACGGATTTCTCAGAGGTAAGACTACCTTCGACAAATGTCTTGCTGACATGATTTACCAAAAAAGGCAACAAACTTATATACTCATGCAAGTGATGGGATGGTTGAGGTGGCGACTCTCCTTTGCTTAACTAAGATGATCTTTCACGTGAATTCAGGGCCAACAGAACCTATCTCCACCACCCTGTCTGCATGTGGGTCAGACGTAACTTCGGCCACATCGATCGATTTTTCGGTCTGTCTGTCTGTCCGCTAGCTATTCTGGCACTATACAGAGTATGAGGCGGCCGATGAGGCGGCCGATGAGCGGTACTAACAGCTTCAGAACTACGCGAGCCAAATGACTCTCCGCTAGCTACACGGGAGACAACGCGGGGGGTAACGACTAACGACGCGCTATGCGCGCAACTACGTAAGTGTCAAAAATAGTACGCCAATATGGAGAAAGAACGGGAGCAGCGGTGGTGGTTGACGTAAGCCACTACACTTGCCGTCAGTCCACGGCCTCTGCGCTCATCTTCTTTCTCGCGGGAGGGGCCCGTCCGTCACTCTTAGTAAGGTAGGCCGACCTCCTAGTAAAGCGGACGGACCTAGCGACCGCTTAGTAAATTCGACCGACCTCTTAGAGCAGTAGACTGACCCTCAGACAACCGACAACGCGAGCGCGTCACTGATTACATTCCTGAGTCACCTGACTGTGAATAATTGGGGGTGCGGTCAGCTGCGCGCAGTACGTACGTACGTAGCGCGACCGTAGTACCGTGCGAGCTAGTCTCGTGCCCAGACCCCACCCTCAAGAGAGAGGATCGACAAGTCTTTTGAGACACCGAATCAGATTTGCCACGACCGTGAAATATGGGAAATCCGAGTGGTGTATCTGCTTTCCAGGAGGACTTCACGACATAGCGGCACAAAAATTTCTCTGCATAGCGTGACCATTATGTCTGTTTCCATGCGTTTGGTGTTGGACGGATTGAAGGGTGGCCAGATCTTCCTCCTACTGTGGGCAATGAACCCCAACTCGGAAGTGCCCGTGTGCTGCTAAGCGCAAGTCCAAGGCTGAAAAACTGGAGAGCGAAGAAAAGTTGGAAGTCACCTTGTGCGGTACAAAGGCAATCTCAGCATTGAACACATACCTGGTCTGTGGGGCCTGTGTGCTCGCGTGGGGCATCTGCACTGGCTGGGTGCTGTGATCACCGGCTGCGCTGCGCTCAGTGCGGGGGGTACTACACAATGGAAGAGCACTACTGTAACCCTAACCTAAGACAGACAAGACACACTGAACTCCACACATACCTGGTCCACAGTGGGGCCTGGGTGCTCGGGTGGGGCATCTGCACTGGCTGGGTGCTGTGATCACCGGACTGCGCTGCGCTCAGTGCGGGGGGTACTACACAATGGAAGAGCACTACTGTAACCCTAACCTAAGACAGCCAAGACACACTGAACTCCACACATACCTGGTCTGTGGGGCCTGGGTGGTCGCGTGGGGCATCTGCACTGGCTGGGTGCCGTGAGCAGTGTCCCAGTGCTTTAAAAACCCCACACCAGAGATGATGGCCTTCCTTTGCGGACACAGCTACAGGGCTGGTTCATTAGAATACCTAAACAATCTTTTTTGCTTGTAGGTCAATGTGCATGATGTGTGTCTCTGTCTGTGTTAACTGCGTGGTCTCCTGAGAGTCGGAGTCCTGTGAGTAAACAACACCACGACAACTTGAACCACAACAACATACAGACCGTGTCATGAACCTACATGGCTGGCGCTTGCATTGTCCAGTCGGCCATGCTGTGAACCCACCGGCCTCAATTGGGTATTTATGGTGCGGATGAATGACCCCATAGTTAGCCAGCACCTTTACTACTTGCACAGCAACTTCTTCTGTGCTGAGGGTTACGTTGTGCACCTCCTCTCGACGCACCACCGTGCCCTCTGCAAGCGATGTTCCACAGATCACATGATGTTATGTGTAACGCAGCTCCGCGGATCCTCGAACGAAAACCGGCTTTTCTGCGCATGCACTCGACAATGATGAGTCAGCACAACCAAGAAAAACGCTTTGAGGGCGGGGTCTGGGCACGCGAGCCGGCCAGGTCTAGTCTGTTCTTGTTTCTTCCGGATGAATAATCGGCCCAGTCAGGACCACGTCATAATATAAAAGCCAGCTCTCCCGTTCACAAGCCTAACCGAAGATGCCAGGGTATGATGTTACTACAGTGGAGCCGGTGAAGGAAAGCTTTTCCTGCCCCCACTGCCGGCGACTACTCCGCCAACCCATTCAGAACCAGGAAGGGTACAGATTGTGCCAGGAATGCTGTGACTTGATACGAAGGTAAAATTTGTCTTTTGGGATCGATAGTCGAGTTCCTGACTCTTTTTCGGCCTGAGGAAAGCTCTGTAAGGCTAGGTTCACAATATGTAGCATTGCCCCGACGATCGCACCGTGGCCGCGCCGCAAGGATTTCTAGCTTCTTCGCGGCCGGCACTGTGAGGCAATGCGACATCTATTATATTGTGAACCTGGCCTAAATCTTCACGCTCAGGGCTAAGCTTGGCGTCTATGCAATCGCAGCGACTGGCCGACGCAGCATTATGAACTTCCGTCTGCAGCGTGAACCTAGCTCGCAAGGCTATGCTTAGACCTGTCCAGGCCCTGTGGCTGTTCGGCGCAGTACAGACCCTAGATATTAATCCTACGGGTTGGGATCTTGGTATTTGCAGCTTGAGAATGAGCGATGCAATCAATTTTGTAGTGATTCTGTTATTATGCCACTGCTTCCTTTGAACTTTAGGTTACCAGGAGGAAAATGTGAAGACTGTGGAATTACGATCCTCCCTGATTCAGAGGTAAGTTCCTCCATTAGTTAGTTATATTTCCATACTAATACCCACTGACTGCACTAGGTGTACCCAGACAAGGCGGCCAGAAGAGAGATAGACTCCCTGGTGGTCTACTGTACCAACAGAGCCTCAGGCTGTGACTGGACGGGACCTCTCGCCTCACTAGACACCCACACCACTACATGTCCCCACAAGGGAGTCACCTGCCCCAACGAGGGCTGTGGGCAGGTCACTGCTGCAGCTAAGATGGAGCTCCATCTCGTGGAGTGTCAGTTCCGACTGGTGGAGTGTGACTACTGCCACTCCATGCTACCCTTCTGCCAACTCCCTGTAAGTTTAATAAACATTGGCCTTTTGATGTTCTTTAGGAATATTATAGAAACATGCCCCTTGCACACACAAAGTGTAAGCAAGCATGGCATTCTTGGCTAGGCAGCAAGCCAGCCAACCTGGGTGCCCTGTTGGCTATGTATACACTGTAGCACTATCCACTAGGGAGAGTCCTGGGGATTTCCCCCAACCACAGGCACCCATGTGAAGCCACATGATCCAGGGTTCAGCAGGTCAAGAGGTTGCTGGCCCTTGTACCGCACATCATCCACCTTTATACCCTGGAATATGCACAGTGTATATACATGTAGTGTTTTCCCCTGCAAGCCATTGCACAGTTCATAGGATGTGACCTTTCAATCACGAGTTGACAATACAGTGTCATTGGTGTATATCTATACCATGGCCATAGCAACACAGAGTCATGCTATACTTCATCCAAGTCTGTATAATCCAGAAGCAGGAAGTATATATATCCTGTAAGGGGAAAATGTCCAGACATCTGTCTGTCTCCCACTCCTTTACACCTTATGTTGTGAACAGTAGACATAATATCATATTGCCTGTTCAACAGGAAATAGTCAGCATTTCCTGCTATTTACTAAGGAAGCCACTGTTATTCTAGGAGGCCAATTACAAATGCAGGGTTGCTAGGACTTTCATGTTTGTTTACTTTGCCCACTTTATGTTAGCAATGACATGTGTGATGTCATTAGTTTCGTTGCTTATGATTATCATGGTAGTTTTATTAACCCTCGGCGCGCATGTGCAGCGAGGGTTACAGTAGTTGGTTTGTCTGTCTGTGTGTGTGTGTCGACGCTTATTCTGGCACTACAAGCTACGAGGCGGCCCATTACCAGCGACTTCAGAACTACGCGAGCCTGAAAATAAATGGGCAATTTTCCTGAAACGATTGTGTTCGAGAGCGAGAAACTGGATGGTCGCGGACCGAGTTGCGTGGCCCAACCCATCAATTAACTGTGCGCATGCATATAGAGCGCAGCGGCTGACTTCGACCAGGTTCGCTCGCTCTGTGTATCTTGGAGGCACAAGAAGTCACAACAAAGGGCATGTATAGACTCCCGCATGCTATCTACTACTGTAGCTAGCTAGCCCGTGTCAGACTCTCCGCGAGCTACTAGCGGGAGAAACGCATACTGATAGCCCAGCCCATCAATTAGCGGTATGGTGCATGCGCAGTTCGCCAAGGGTTTGCACTTTAGTGCTTTTCCTTTATTGCCTAGCTAGGCTAGTTAATTTAGCTAGTGATAATGTTGTTGTTTTTGGATGAAGGTTACTTTATTCATTAACTATTATCAGTAATTCACACAACATTCGGCACCATATTCACGATCTGTATTTGACCTAGCCGTATTCTCCACACTCTGCATTAAACACAGGTCCACCACGAGGGAGAGTGTGAGGTGTACCCCCAGCCATGTGAGCAGTGCAGCCAGCTGGTCACCAGGAGAGACCTGGACAGACACTTGGAGGAATCCTGCTCCCTCCTCCGCTGTAAAGTCTGCCACACCCTGGTGAGCATTCATTACTGTTAGCTGTCGGCGCACATGAGTTGCTATCTGGGTGTGTGTCACTTATTCTAACACCACAGGCTACAATGTGGCATATAAGCGATACCAACGGCTTTAGAGTGACAAGTGCATGAGGTAATTTTCCCGAAAAACTGATATGCTGTGAAAACAAGCGTAAAAACCAATATGCATAATCAGTACTTGCTTACCTCAACCAGCTCTAGCCTGTTCAGCGCACCACCCACTGAGGAATCAAGTTACTCGAGGATCAATGAACGCTGCCTTATGGTGCATGCGTAATGTGAACATCAACACTACATGCGTATGTTCCTCGAGCGGAGGGTTTGCACTTCAGTGCTTTATCATTACATCTTGTCCTGTATATACCTGGCTCTAGCATGCTAGAATTTATGAACCACCTGCATGTGGGAGGGATATTGTGTTAGGGGTACAACTTGCTGAGCCAAATGATACCACAGCTGCTTGGGGCCCATTTAGATAATACGGGGAATAACTGTTAGTAATTAGTATGCTGATGATGTGATTTTTGCATCAAGCACATATACTTATGTGAACTAATACAAACGCTGAGGTAATCCTCTTCCTTCCTGAAATACATGATTAATATAGCAATGCACCACACAGAGTTGGAGAGGAAGGTAGAGCAGTAGAGCATGATCGGTGTAATGTCTTGGTAACTCAGGTAGAAGCACACTCTACCTAGACCGCAGAGTGTCGTGGATTTGCTAGGGCAAGTATTTTGTCCTCGGATGGTCATGATTTGCATTTGCTCATGATTCACGCGCAATTTGCATTCCATACCTGCCTAACCTACATTTTGCGGCGGCCCGTCCCCAGGAGCGCTACTCTCGGACGCGCAGTCTTGCAGCGACGTCTCAGAATCCCAACCCTCGACTTCCAAACGGAAAGCCTCTGCCATTCGCTCCATCCTTCGATCTGTCAGAGTTTGTACATAAAACATTGATACCCAACCCTAACCACAGTGGATATTCACACATTCCTTAGTATTTACCCTAACCACAGTGGATATTCTCACCTTTTCACCCTCTTGGGTGGGTAGCTGATTTATTGTG